ATTTTGGTCATTCTATTAGGTGTTTAGTGGTATCTCGTTGTTGTTGTTGTTGTTGTTGTTTTTTACTAACGAAGATTTGCATGAGCTAACATCTGTTGCCAGTCTCCCTCTTTTTTTGCTTGAGGAAGATTAGTCCTGAGCTAACATCTGTGCCGGTGGTCCTCTATTTTTGTATGTGGGTCACTGCCACGGCATGGCTGACAAGTGGTGTAGGTCTGTGCCTGGGATCCAAACCCATGAACCTGGGCTGCTGAAGCAGAGCACACCAAACTCAACCACTACACCATGGGGCTGGCCCCTCATTGTTGTTTTAATTTGCATTTTCCTGATGACATCTGATATGGAATATCTTTTCATATGCTTATTTACCATTTGTATGTCTTTTTTGGTGAGGTCTTTGTTAAGATCTTTTGTCCTTTTTTTTTTTTTTGCTGAGGAGTATTTGCCCTGAGCTAACATCTGTTGCCAATCTTCCTCTTTTTCTTTTTTTTTTTGTGAGGAAGATTAGCCCTGAGCTAACATCTGTGCCAATATTCCTCTATTTTGTATGTGGGTCACCACCACAGCATGGCTGACAAGTGGTGTAGGTCCATGCCTGGGATCCAAACCTGCAAACCCGGGACACTGAAGTGAAGCATGCCAAACTTTAACCACCACACCATGGGGCTGGCCCCTTTTGTCAATTTTTTAATTGGGTTGTTCATTTTCTTATTGTTGAGTTTTAAATGTTCTTTGTATATTTTGGATATATCTCTTTTTATCAGATATATGTTTTGCAAATATTTTTTCCCAGTGCGTGGCTTGTCTTCTCATTCTCTTAACAGTGTCTTTTGCAGAACAGAAGTTTTTCATTTTAATGAAATTAAATGAAGTCCAACTGATCTATTCTTTCTTTCATGACCATGCCTTTGATGTTGTACAACATCTAAAAAGTCATTTTTATCCAAGGTCATCTAGGATTTCTCTTATGTTATCTTCTAGGAGTTTTACAGTTTTGCATTTTACATTTAGGTCTGTGATCCACTTTGAGTTAATCGTTGTGAAGGGTGTCAGGTCTGTGACTAGATTTCATTTTTTTTTGCATGTGGATGTCCAGTTGTTCCAGCACATCTTTGCTCCATTGTATTGCCTTTACTCCATTGTCAAGGATCAGTTGACTATATTTATGTGGGTCTATTTCTGGGCTCTCTATTCTGTTCCATTGATCTATTTCTCTATTCTTTCACCAATACCACACTGTCTGGATTACTGTAGCTTCACAGTAAGTCTTGAAGTTGGGTAGTGGCCGCCCTTCAACTTTGTTTTTCTTCAATTTTGTGTTGGCTATTCTGGGTCTTATGGCTCTCCATATAAACTTCAGAATCAGTTTGTTGATATCCACAAAATAACATGCTGGGATTTTGATTGGGATTGCACTGAATCTGTAGGTCAAGTTGAGAAAAACTGACATCTTGACAATACTGAGTCTTCCTATTCATGGACATGGAATATGTCTCCATTTATTTAGTTCTTTGATTTCATTCATCAGAGTTTTGTAGTTTTCTCATACAGATGTTATACATGTATTTGTTATATTTATACCTAAGCATTTCACGTTGGGAGGAGCTAATATAAAGCGTATTGTGTTTTTAATTTCAAATTCCAGTTGTTCATTGTGGTATACAGGGAAGTGACTGGCTTTGGTAATTAATCTTGTATCTTACAACCTTACTATAATCACTTATTAGTTCCAGGAGTTTTTTTTGTCAATTCTTTTGGCTTTTCTACATAGACAATCATGTCATCTGCAGACAGTTTTATGTCTTTCTTCCCAATCTGTGTAATTTTATTTCCTTTTCTTACTGCATTAGCTAGGACTTCCAATATGAAGTTGAAAAAGAGTGGTGAGAGGGGACATCCTTGCCTTGTACCTGATGTTAGTGGGAAACCTTCAAGTATTTTACCATTAAGTATGATTTTAGCTGTAAGTTTTTTATAGATATTATTTATCAAGTGGAGGAAATGCTGCTCTATTCCTAGTTTACTGGGAGTTTTTATCATGAATCGGTGTTGGATTTTGTCAAATGCTTTTTCTGCATCTATTGATATGATCTTGTGATTTTTCTTCTTTAGCTTGTTGATATGATGGATTCTATTAATTGACTTGCGAATGTTGAATCAGCCTTGCATACCCGGGATAAATCCCACTTGGTCTTGGCTGGCCTGTTGCTGAAAGGGAAACTGTCTTGAACTAGGCAAGTCACCCAATTCCTTCATCTGAAGGGAGTGTGGCCAATGAGAGGGGCCCCAGCTTGCCAAGGTGCCCCTGCCTGTGTTCCCAGGAAGGCATTCGTCTGAGCTCTCAGAGCGTGACCCGGGCATTCGCTTTTTGGAGAGATATTGGTTTCCTGCCCGAGACAGCTGGCCTGGTGCCTCCAGCACAGCAGCTGCTAGAAGCTCTGCAGGGAGGTGACAACACCCTCCACACTCATGGGGCCTGTAACTGGAGGATGGGTCAGTGATCTCAGGGCCATGGCATTTGGAGGCTTGCTCCCGATGGGAACCATGAGGTATGTCATGGAGAGGAAACGGGAGAACTTTGGGAAGGAGCTGCTCCTGCATCTCTGGAGTCCCTGGGGCTGCCCACGTAACACGCTGTTGTCTTCCAGCCCAGGAAGTCAACGGCTGCTGCATTTTGCATTCTTAATTAATTTAGGACAAATTCTAGCTGCCCGGGAGGAAGGGCAGTGGTGGGTCACATCCATGTTTGACTTTGGGGACAGCTGAGTTGGTTCACCAGGGCCACTGACACCCGGGCTGGTGAGAGTCTTGTTTCCTAATCTTAGAACATCTCCTCGAATGGACACATGGGTCCTGGACACTTCTAATACAAAGGAACCATCATAGCAGCCACCATCTTGGTGGACAGCAGTGTCTGTCTTGGAGCGGGAAGTGACCACTGATCTCCCAGAGCCCAGGGTCTTCCTGTGAGGTCCCCCTGCTCCCATGAGGGGCCCTCCATCCTCAGCAGGTGCTGAGGCCAGGCCATCATTCCACCGAGGCTGCTGGCTGCGCTGCGCCTGGCTGTTCCCCACTTCCCATCTGCATGAAGGTCTTACCTGCAGGGACCAGGGAGGCTGAGGGGGAGCCCTGGCTGGCTGGCAGTGCTGCCCACATGGTGGGAAGTTGGGGCCACACAGAGCTGAGGTGCTGCTGCCCTGGGAGGACTAGTCCTGGCTGCTACCCAAAGTGCACATCTTGCGGTGGCTCTTCTCTTTCCTGTTTTCATTTTTTGTTCTCAAGGAGGCATCTGAAAGACACAACTTGTCTTAGGAAGCTGGGGCTCAGCATTTCTTTCCTCTGCTCTGCACTGAGAAGTCCCCACTGTAGGTGAGAATCTTGAGAGAAAAGCCCTTGGGCTGAGGCCCTTGGCCAGACTGTGACCCCAAAGTCCGGGCTCTGCCTGGCAACATGGGTGCAGGGAAGTCAGTGATGAAGGGGTCTGAGTAGGTGTTTGCCCCTCTCCCGTGTCCAGCAGTGACCACACTCCCTGGACAGTGGGGTAGGGCCTGCCCTCCGCCCCTGTTGCCCCTGGCCCCAGAGATTGTTAGCCCCCAGGTCATCGGTCCAGGCTACTCTCAGCCCGGACATACCCAGGAGGCTGCCCTCCTCTGCACTGCAACCTAGGGCTCAGGCGGGTCCAGGTACACGGTCAGCTCAGGGTCGGCATCATGGACGGCAGGACCTCTGGTCCCACCTGGAAGGACAAGAAATAGGGGAGAAACCCGGGCACCATGGCTGCATCCCCAGCCTGGGCTGACGCCACGAGAGGGCTCCATATGGTGGGATGTCACATAAGAACACGTGCTGCATGACACCGATGACTGAGGAGGACAGACAGGGCTCATTCTGACTGGGCTCCTGAGGACAGCGAAGTGGATGGATGAGAGTCTGCGGGGCGCAGGAGGCAGGACGAAGCTGTGTGGGGCTGTGCCAGTGTGAGCGTCAGGCGGTTAAGGAGAGAGCCCGCTGCCCGCGGGCAGTTCAGCCATCACGCATCCCCTCTCCAGTTCAGGGTGGTCATGGCACCCAGTGTGGACACAGTGGGAGGGGAGGAGAGCCCCCACCTCCCAGGGGGCCCCACGCAGCAGGCGGCTGGGCTGTCCACACCCTGTGAACCCCCGACAAACCTGGGGATACTTGGTGCGATTCTCGTATTGAGGGTGAGCCCAGGCACAGAACAACTGGACCGGGTCAGGCTAAGAGGGCCCACTAAGAAACAGCCAGTTCTCACCTTCTACCTCCCAGGAGTTTAATTCGCTTCCAGGCTGGTTCCTAATGTAGATAAAACTGCAGGGAACGCCTCGGTGTGTAGTTTTCTCCTTTTTTCCCCCTAATCCAGTGTTGTCTTTAAGGTAAATGTCCCTGGTGGGGTGCACTGACTGGTGCTGGTTGCGGGGTGCCAGCGAGCGTCGTGGGGCAGGTGGGGTGGGGTCTGCGCAGGTGTTGAGGTCCGAGAATGGGAGAGGGGGGGGGGGGGGGAGGTGAAGGGTGGAGGGTGGAATCCGAGCATGGAGTGGGGTCGAGCATGGGGATGGGGTCGAGCATGAGGGCGGGGTTCGAGCGTGAGGTGAGGATGTGGTCTGAGTGTGGTGGTAGGGGCAGGGTGCAGGGCCAGGGATGGGGACGGGGTCCAAATGTAGGGGTGGGTCCGAGCATGGGGGTGGGTCTGAGCGTGAGGTGGGTCTGAGCGTGGGGTGGGGGCAGGCTCCGAATCTCCAGCGCCCATAGCGGGCCCATTGCACTGATGCGGGCGCTGAGCCCACCCGCTGGTCTGGGACGGTCCCTACCGCGTCCCTCGTGGGCGAGCGGGCCGGTGGCAGGGAGGCTGCAGTGGCTTGTGGCCTCCGGGTCTGCCTGCCACGGTCCCTGGATGAGACGGGTGGCAGTGGGCGGCCCTCCTCACTCGGTTCCCCCGCGTGCCCGCACACGCCTCACCAGTGTCTTTCTCCCCTCGGCAGAGATCGCGCGCGCGGAGGTGGGGCTCCTGCAGCTGCTCGGGGAGCCCCCACCCCCGCAGGTCTCCCGCGTGGACGACCCCGACGTCGGGCCGGCCTACGTCTTCGGGCCGGACCCCAGCAGCGGCCAGGCGGCCCGGTACCACTTCCCGAGCCGGTTCTTCCGCGACTTCTCGCTGCTGCTCCACGTGCGGCCGGACACCCCGGGCGCGGGCGTGCTGTTTGCCGTCACGGACGCGGCGCAGGCCGTGGTCTCGGTGGGCGCGAAGCTGGCGGCCGTGCGCGCCGGCCACCAGGAGGTCCAGCTGCTGTACACGGAGCCCGGCGCGGCGCGCACGCGCACGGCCGCCGCCTTCCGCCTGCCCGCCTTCACCGGCCAGTGGACGCGCCTGGCGCTCAGCGTGGACGGCGCGGCCGCCGCGCTCTTCGTGGACTGCGAGGAGTTCCAGCGCGTGCCCTTGGCGCGGGCCCCGCGCGGCCTGGAGCTGGAGCCCGGCGCCAGCGTCTTCGTGGCTCAGGCCGGACGAGCGGACCCCGACAAGTTCCAGGTAACGCGACGGCCGCCGCGCGTGGGCCCAGCCAGCCCTGGGGGTCGGGGGGACTGGGGACAAGGGACAACACCGCCGCCCGCCTGGTGCAGCATCCCCAGGAGAGGAGAACCCTCGGCCCCCACCTGGAGGGCAGGCCTCGGGGGTCCTCAGTCCACCCGCTCTCCCGTGTCCACTTACTCCCTGGTGTTCTGGCCCCTTCACCACCCCAACAAGGGTCTCCCCGGGCTGCAGTGGTTTCTGAGACCCCCAGCCCAGCCGGCCCCCTTGGGACTACGTTCCTCACTGGACGCCCAAACCTGCCACCGTCGGGAGCGCCTCCCCGTGTGTGCGCACGTGTGGTCGGCGCTGCGGTGCCCCCGGCCGTCCAGGCCCAGCTCTGTGACCCTGCACAGTGGGAAGTAAGAATTTCAAGACGGCGAGAGCGGATCGGAGCACTGAGTGTGGGCCCTTCTGGGAGCGCCGCAACCGTGAAGGTTTCGCACCGGCTGCGGGGCCCAGGGGTTCACACCATGCGCCACCATTAACTGTGCTGGTTATTATTATCTTTATCAAACTGTGCAGCAGCCCCATGGCCTGTAATCCCCAGGGCAGGGCTCCCCTTCAGAGGCGTGTGGGTGCAATTTCCCCAGCTGTGATAGGCTTGTGGCTCCGCAGGGAAGGCCTCTCCTCCTGGGACTGACCCTGGCCTTCATGTTGTAGGGGAGGCAGATCCCAGAGGAGGGATGGGGTCTTTCTCCTGGGCGCTCGGTCCCACACTTCTTGGAACCTTTAGCTGGAATCCCCACCTCTTGGCATCTCGGTGTGGGCACCCTCAGCCGCACTGACTCACAGCACTGGAATTCTGTAGTTGGAGCTGGTCTGCAGCTGGCACGCCCCCTTCCCCCGAGTCCAGACAGGGGTCCCTGTGTGAGCTCACGGGGCTTGTGTCCGCAGGGGACAGAAGGTTGATTCTTGCCCAGACAAAGGCTGCTTGATTAAAGTTGTCCTAAGTCCTGGTGACTGGGCTCTGAAAGCTGAGCTGTCACCTTTGGCAACAACTTTCACCCGTGGGGTCTGGGAGTCAGCGGGACTTTGGTACCAAACTGGGCCTCTTTGTGTTTTCATTCTGATGCTCAAATACGATTAACTGGAAAGAAGTCGGAGGGTCGTCCTGTCCGGGGAGGAGCTGTTTACCGGCAACTTGTGTGTGGTTTCCCAGGCATTTCCAGATGGAAAAGTGTCCCTCTAAGTTCTAGACATCTTCAACGCTTTGACAGAGAAGTTGCCTGTGTGCTGATGGGCCAGGGTTACCTGTCTCATGGTGCAAACAGAGGGGTGAGCTGGTCACCACCCCCGAGCAGCAAGGCTACCCAGACTGTCTCTTCCCTGGGCCTCACCTGGGTTGCCTGGCATCTATGCAAAATGCGTTTGCCAGTTGGATACGTAGGTGGACAGTGTCTGGGTGTTTTAATTTGCATTTCTTTGTTGTTAGTGAAGACAAACTTTAATTTTTTCATGTGTTTCTTGGCTGTTTGTATTTCTTCTTTTATGACTGGCCTGTTTATGTCCTTTGCATTTCGGTTTGGTGGGTTCAACTGTTTGTTATTGATTTATGTGAGCTCTTTATATGTGAAAGAAACTGATCCTTTGTACGCCACAAATTTTATTTCCCAGTTTGTCATTTGCCTTTATACGTTGTCATTTTTTTTTTTTTTAAACTACTGGGGTATTTAAGTGTTTATGTGGTGAAGTCTGGTCTGGAGAAGACACCCATTGGCGTTTAATGTCCCGCTTGTCTTTGAAGGTTATGAAAACAAAAACAGGGGAATGTAGGGTTCCTGTATGGCTCTGGGCTGAGCCCTGTTGACCCTGGCAGTGTCCTGCTTGACCTCCAGTTGATTTCACTTGCGCCACATCCAGCTGAGTCAGCTCGGTCCTGCTGCTTATGTCCCCGAGGACTGTAAGTTTCAGGAATTTCGCTGTGGGTGTTTGATCAGATTTCAGCGAGGTGAGGGGAGAAGTGTGCTTGTCTTGTAGGAAGGAAGACAAAATGGGTTTAGTCCAAGGGTTCTCAGACTTTCTGGATTGACATTCTTGGGAAAGAATCATGCAGATCACGTGGTTTGTGAGATTTGGCAGAGACAGCACAGAGCTCAGGGCGCTGGGAGGAGCCTGGGCGTTCCCTCCCATCGTCTCCGGAACGGGCGCTCGGCCCCTCGCTGACACCGCTCAGCTGCTCAGCCCGGCGCCTGTCCAGACGGATACTCACAGAACCTGTATTGTTTTCTGCTGTCAGAAAAATTCTTGAACATCGTTGGTCTTTTCAGGTTTATTCTTGAGTCCAATTTGGTCATGATAAATACCTCCTGGGAAATCGTTTATTCCATCCAGTTGTTACAGTGTTTTGCCTGAAGTCTGACTTCCAGCTCTTTTTCAGTGGTTCTGTACCTTCTTTTTTTCTTACCATTTCAAGTTCTCTGCAGTCTGTTTTTCCTGACTTAATTTCTTTGTTGGAAGGGTCCCCATTTCTCATTCATCATTTGCTTTATCTTACGAGGCCCCCTCCTCTTTGCCAGGGGTGTCTTTCATCTTCGGTGGTCTGTTTATTCAGGCGAACGCCCCGGGAACACCCTCCGACCCCCGTCTGTAACCGGCGCCGTGCCAGGAGCGGGACTCTGCTCGGGGACGGGACAGGCTGTGCTCCACTGCAGCCCCGCACTGCGGACGGTCACTTACTTTGTTCAGTGACGAATGCATTGGAGGTTGTGACTTCCTCAGCATGCTACTGGTTGGGCCATGTTACATAAACAGTGAACGCTCCGTCCACTGAAGCCACGATGCCCACCAGCCAGCTACTTTTGGTCCACTGGACAGGGAAAGTGTGGGTGCCCCCGGACCCCCGAAGTCCTCCTTCCCCTGGGGCCCCCAAGCGCAGCCACTGCAGACCCACCGCTCCTGACCAAGGGAGGAGTCGGGGCGCCCGAGGTCACTGTCACCCTGCTGCTCCTGACAGCCCTCTTTACGACAGTGGATTGCTCTGTCGCTCTCTGAAGTGCGTGGCTGGCGGCCTGGCCTAGACACAGCGCCACAGCGTTAGTGCAGCGTCCTGGCTTGGTAGAGCGGAGAAACAGGGAACGTGGTTTGTGGTAGAAGGACATGCCCGGGTGTGGCCCCACGGGGAGGAGCCTCCGTGAAGCCCATGCTCTTGTGCAGAGAGCTGTGGACGAGTCTGGGTGTGATGTGAGTGGCTGGTCAGAAGCCGCTCGGTATGGAGGTGCAAGGAAATGGGACGGTGGCGGCGTGGCCCCATCACAGCTACTGCTGGGGTCGGTGACAAGGGACCAGGCGCACTTGGGGGTCAGCCAGCAGAGGAAGGAGGGGACCCGAGTGCCGTATCCCCTCCCCCCACACAGGCTCGTTCAGCCAGGACACGGCCCTCCCAGGGGGGCAGAAGGGGTGGGTCAAAGGCCCCCTTGGAGAGTGCTGGGGGCCCGGGAGTTGGGGTCCCAGGGAGGCAGCCCCACACCAGTGACTTCAGTGACACACTTGCACAGTGTAGGGTTCTGATCGTCTACACACGACTTTAAGGGTATAACCCACAGCGTGGCCGTGACAGGACGTATTTTAAACAGTCTTGGGGCCGGCCCCGTGGCTTAGCAGTTAAGCGTGCGTGCTCCACTGCTGGCGGCTCGGGTTCGGATCCCGGGCACGCACCGCTTCTCCAGCCATGCTGAGGCCGCGTCCCGCATACAGCAACTGGAAGGATGTGCAGCTATGACATACAACTATCTACTGGGGCTTTGGGGGGAAAATAAATACATAAATAAAATCTTTAAACAGTCTTGGACGAAATGCAGGGTCTGGATTTCATCACGTCTGGTTCTGAGCCGGTCCAGTATTGGCAGTGGGCGTTGGGCCTGTGCACAGTGTCGAGTTGCCCGGCCGTGCGTCCTGGGGAGAGCTCCAGCACCGGTGGGTGGCCGGCCCGGGTCAGTGCTTCTCTGCCCTCTCTTCACTCTGGCTTGGGAAGCCCTGCAGCCTCTTGTGGAGTGGCCGGCGTTGTACAGTGTTGTCGCTGGCCTGCGTCGGTGGCGGGCCTGGTCTGTCGCAAGTTCAGAGCCTCGTGGGGCGTGTCCATGTGGGGGTGGTTGTGACGGAGTGTCCAGTGCCCTGACTCCCACCTGCCAGGAGCGCCCCTCGTGCCGTCCCGGGGAGTTGTCACACCTGGTAACTTGCTGTCACCCGGGGCCACCCTGTCCCTCCTTCAGCAGGTCTGAGTGGGCCGAGAGTTTGCATCTCGAACACAATGCTGCTGCTGACCCCTGACCTGACCCCAGAGGCTGACCCCTGCGTTTTTAAGTCCAGCTTGGCCTGTGCTTCCTGTGGGCGATGGTGCCTCTGGAGCCTGGATGATGGAGGTGCCTGTGCATCTGTGCGTGGATGGACGGGGACTGGATCTCGGGACTCCTGGCTCCTGGTCTGTGCCTCCTGCACACCCGTGCTCACACGCCTGCTCACACTCGCACACGTGCCACGTAAAACTCTCACACTCACAGCAGTCACATGCTCACCCTGCTTGCTCACATGCAGAGGCACTCAGACACACACGCACACCCACGCTCACACGCCTCGCCTGGATAGCTCAGCCGCCCTCACGGCGGCTGGAGCATCCCAGAATTCGAGGAAGGACACTTGTCCCTCAAATAAACCAGCCACGCCCGAAGCCGGGTTCCCTGCTCACTGCCATCGGGACAGGAGCTCCAGCCCCGGGAGGTCTGTGGGTCTCAGCTGCGGCGGGAGGGGGCGCCACCAAGCTCTGCCCAGGGCAGGACCAGCCTTGACCACGGAGCCACGGGCCGTGCCCGCCTTCAGTCTTCTGGAATGTGCTGTGATTATGTGGGGGGGGGGGACAGTGAGGACGAGGTGGTCTTGCCAGTGGACGCAGTGTTCCCCACCTCCAGAGATCGACCCCGAGGCAGGAAGTGATGGGAGGTCACTCGGCACCTCCTCTGTCAGCCCTGAGATGGCGGCAGCTTTGCTCACCCGAGCGGTGCCCGCTGCCCGTGAAATCTGTGCAGAAGGAGGACATCACAGGTGTGCTTAGAGCCGGAGTCACTCGCCTGCATTCCGATTGCTTCCCGCCTGCGTCCTCGGCCGCCCTCCTACCCTTGCGAGTTGGGGTGCTGGCCTGGCTGGGAGTTGTGTTGGGGAAGATGACAACCTCACGGCAATTGTGGGGGCTGCAGGGGTCACCCTCAGGCCTCCCTCCCCACCCCGGATCCAGCAGTCCTCATTCGCCTCCCAGGAGCAGGTGTGCCTGGACATGCACACGTGTATGCACGCACACACAGGCACAGAGACTCAGGTGCACACACACACACAGGGAGGTGGGACGCCGCCCCACAGGCCTCACCCTCAGTGGGGCGAGAAGACGGGAGTTGGGTAGAAGTGGGCCCTAGAGGCGCTAACCCTCCTGGGCGGGAGTCCAGGAGTGCTTCCTGGAGGAGGTGGCCTGAGCTGAGTCTTGAGAGACAGGTGGAGCCCTCAGATGAGGGTTTAGCCGGGGACACACTGCGGTGTTTGTTGGTTTGCTGTCGCATGCTTCTTGTTGGTGTGGAGCAAGAAGGTCAGGAGGTCGAGGGTCAGCTGATAAAGAGAGTCTGAGGGGCATTCACAGGAATAAACAGAGTAATCTGGGCCAGGGTCAGCACACGGCCCGAGGGACACATCCTGCCCGCTGCCTGCTTCTGTGCAGCCTGCAAGCTAAACAGGCTTTTTCATGTTTACGTGGTTGGAAAAATCAAAAGAAGAAGAATATTTTGTGACACGTGAAAATTATATGAAATGAAAATTCCCGTGTCCACAAAGTTTGATTGGCGCAGCCACGTCCAGCCCCCACGTGCTGTCTGTGATCAATTTCCCGACAGGGCAGAGAGTAGCTGTGACAGAGACTGGAATACGCCTGGCCCTGCACAGAGGAAGTTTGCCGACCCCTGACCTGTTATAAGTGGTTAATGTGCATCTTAGGATTGATGAAATAGGGTCTGTATTTAGGAAAAAATGCACTGAAGTAAATCCCAATGCATTAAAACGTTAAGTGAAAAACAGGGAATATTAGAGAAAGCACGTGTGAACACTCATGATTTCCAGGTAGGGAAACCTTTTAAAGTGGCGTCAAGGCCCCGGGATCCAGCAGCCTCGTGCACTTGGCTCCGAGACCTCAGCCAGGATTCGGAACCTGCATTCGTGTTGCCCTGCGTCCCTGCCCTTCGGGGGTCAAGGGGCCTCGTGGCGAAGGCCGCAGTGCAGCCTCGTCACCCGTGCTGTCCCCAGCTGGCGGCGGCCCCTGCTCCCTCCCTCAGGCTTCCAGCCTCCCGTTGAAGCAGGTGCCCTGTCCGAGGGGCGGCGCTCTGCACTTCTCGTTCAGGATGTTGCCTTGCCGGTGTCTGCTGCCCCCCCAGGTCCCCCCACCCACTGCCATCTGCCTCGTGTCCCTCGGGGACACCACCTCCAGTGACACACCTCATCTCTGTCCTACTGTCCTGCCTGGGCACCCTCCAACCACTAACCTTCTCCACACTGAGCTGCGGGAGGGCAGGGCCCTGTTCACTGCTGTGTCCTGGAGCCTAGCACAGAGCTGAGAACACGTGGGGGAGTGCGTGTGGAGTGAGCAAGAGGGTGAGTGAGTGAGTGAATGAGCAAATGAATGACTGACTGAGTGAATGAGTGAGTGAATGAGTGAAGTGAATGAGTGAATGAGTGAGTAAATGAGCAAATGAGTGAGTGAATGAGTGAATGAGTGAGTGACTATGACTTTGGCTCTGGGCCGAGTGGAAGCCTGGGCAGCAGAGAACCAAAGAACTATTCCAGGCACCGTGGGCTCTTTCTGTCCCCGGGTGCTGACTTTTGTTAATTGTGGAAAGGTGGCCTTGTCCTGTTCCCGCCCTGCTCCACCTGACCTGCTCCTGGCTGCGTGTCTGTGGTTTAGCTGAGGAGCAGCTGTGACCAGGCCCCAGGGGATGGTCGGTGGCCTCCCCATCTCCTGGGACCTCCGTTAGCCGTTTTCCGTGGACAGACTCCAGGTGGTCCGTGAAGCGGCCTGTTTCAGATTCAGCTCATTGCTCACCCCCATCGCCCACTCCTGTAACTGCGTCTTGCCTAGCTTTCGGGGCGACCCCAGACCCCACCTCTGGACCGCTGGTGACCTTTCTCTCCCTCTGCATTTAGGGGATGATCGCGGAGCTGAGAGTGCGTGCGGACCCCCACGTGAGCCCCCTGCACTGCCTGGAGGACGATGATGACGATGACGATGGGGTGAGTGACCGTGCGGCCTGGGCTCCCTCCCCCACCCCTGTCCTGCCGGTGGGGGCTGGCCTTTCCCTGGGACCCCAAAGTGATGGGACTGGAAAGGTCTTTTTTTGAAAGATGCCATAGGGGTACCAGGAACCTGGGCTAACAGCTTTCTTTGCCCTCTAACATCAGAAGGAGCCTTCTCTTGCCCGGAACTTTCCATTTAAAAACACGTTCTGAAGGTACAGTAAATGTTAGAAGCCGTCCCTAGAATAGCCAGGCGGGTGACGCAGTCAGTGGCAGTCACCGTGGCGAAAATTCTGTCAGTGTGAGAGTCTGGTGTGTGAGCGTGCGTGTGCTTGTGTGTGAGCATGTAGGTGTTCGTGGGTGTGTGAGCCTGGTGTGTAAGCATGTGCGCGGGTGTACACAGTCCTGTGGAACCTAAGGTAGAAAAACACCGATTCTCAGGGGTGTGAAGGACAGTGGGACAGGAGGAAAACCCATGTCCCCGAGGAGACTCTAGAACACAAACTGCACCCCCAGTGGTCACTGTTGTGAACACAGTGAGGTCGTCCAGTCACGTTTCCCGCAGCCTCGTACTCTGTGTTCATCACAGTGCGGCCTGCATGTCCCTCTGCAGGGCCTCTCCTCTGGCCGTGTCCCAGGACAGTATCCCAGGAACAAGGTGACAAGTCAAAAGAAAGGAATGCGTTTCTTTACAGTTCTCTGTGCGTCTGGCCAGTGGCCCAGTGGATGTCCAGAGGCTCATTCTATTGGTCTGATGGGGTGGGCCTTATTGACAACCAGGCTGACCCCACACAGGAGAGCCACGCAGAGCCCCCGCCCTTGCCCTCCAGGATGGGCACGGAGGAGGCGGGGCCCCGAGACCCTGCCTGGGTGGGTGGGGATGGGGCTGGTCCCGCTGTCCTCTGCTTTCCAGGACCCTCTGGTCACCATCTCCTTCCTTGTTCCTCTCAAACCTTCAGGTGTCCGGAGACTTCGGCAGCGGGCTCGAGGAGACCCAGGACCTTCTCGGGGAGGAATCGGTGAGTGCAGTGAGGCCGGGACCGCATCCTGGGGTCCTGGCGGGGTCTCCGCCCATGGCCCAGTCCCGGCAGTGGGGCTGGGCTTCCTCTCGTCTCTGCTGCAGGGAACGTTCCTTACAATTCGGTTTCTGATTCTCAACGTTCTGTGGGTCCTGAGGTCAGCCTGTAGGGCCGTAGGGACTAACGGTTTGTCAATCAGGCAAGAATAGAGAGCGTGCGGGCGTCGAGGTGGGGAAGGGTTTCCTCGCGGCCAGCTCGGTGCGTCCAGCTCACCCCTGAAATGCCACGCGGGAGGGAGGGGCATCTCGGGGACATGAAAAGGACATGGCTTTTACAGTTTGGATGAATGGTGGTGGCTCACCTCCTCCCCCAGCATCCGTCTCACGTCGTCTCAGCCCAGGGTTGGATGTTGAGGGGCCGTGACGGGGCGGAGTGCTGGCTGCCCCAGTGGGGGCGTGGGAACTCCTTGGCCCAGGCTGGCCGGAGCAGGGGTGGCAGCTCTGAGGGGAGTGGTGCTCGGAGGAGCGCCCACCTGGGTGCAGGCCCCCTGGACATGGCCTCACCGGGTGGAGGCCCACGATGGCCCAGCCCAGGGTCAGATGGCCTGTGCGTTCCTCGACCGCCAAACCTCTTCCTCACAGATTCGGGCTGGATCTCGGAACTTGCCCCTTCACCCGCCGAGCTCCCATCTTTGCCCCCGGGGCCCTGGATGGGTCACGGACCAAAAATGAGGTCCCCAGGGGCTGGCCCAGTGGCATAGTGGTTAGGTTCACGTGCTTCACTTCCTGGGGTTCGTAGGTTCGGATCCCAGGCGCAGACTTACTCACTGCTTATCAAACCATGCTGTGGAGGCATCCCATATAAAAAAAAATAGAGGAGGATGGGCACACATGTTAGCTCAGCGATAGTCTTTCTCAAGGGAAAAAGAGGAAGATTGACAGCAAATGTTAGCTCAGGGCCAATCTTCCTCACCAAAAATAAGTGAATAAATAAATAAATAATGAGATCCCTAGTCAGACGTTTTCATCGTCTGCCCATAACCCGCGGTGCTCTAACCAGGAACCCATCCTTGCCGGGCTCCCGCCTCAGAAAATCCCGCCAGCAGGCTGACCATGAGTGATTGTGCGGAAGCCTCTGTGCCGGGTGGGCGGGCCTGTCCAGGGCCAACCGGTCTTGGGTCCCTGGGGACCTTGCCCGAGATGGCAGGGTGGTGGCTGCAGGGGAAGGCCTGGTGTTCCGCTCTGGCCACGCTCTCCCACCAGACAGTGGGTGACAGTGTCACCAGGGAGCTCGTGGGGGTGCAGGGAGCATCTTGACCACGTATTTGATCGTCTGTTGTGTCCACACCCTTGAAGTCTGTGGTGCCTCTGGGAACAGGGAAGACGAGTTTTCAGAGCGGGGCCGGCTCTGGAAGAGAGAGTGGGTGGAAATCCCCAGGCCGTGGAGTCCTGTCAGGACCCATGGGGGACACGTCGAAGCCACACCCAGCCTTGTGCGGAGAATCGCCAGGGCTTCCTCCCCGGCCAGCGTCTGCCACTGTGTTGACCACTTGCCCTTCATCGTCCCAACATTGGGAAGGAGCCGGGGCCCTGGAGCATCACCGAGGGGCCGTCCTGGGCCCTGAGCAAGAGGAGTGGACGCTCATCCATCCTTGCACGCTGGTTGACCGTGAGGCCTGGGGAGTTTCGAGACTTGCTGGGCTCACAGGGCCTGGGCCACTGGGGGAGGGGACCCGTCCCCACAGGCTGCTTAGAACAAACAACCCTGGAGGGTCCTGGCTTCTCCCTGTCTCAGACAAAGCCCCTGAGAGTTCTTACCTTTCTTTTTTTTTTTTTTTTTTGTGAGGAAGATCAGCCCTGAGCTAACATCCATGCTAATCCTCCTCTCTTTTTGCTGAGGGTTCTTACCTTTCTTAAAGTCTATAAATATCTTATTTTACAAACCAGATAAACCTGAACCTGGCCAAGTTGCCAGCACGAGCATTCACAGGGCACCTGCGTTGGCTGAATAACCGAGCCCTTCGCTCTCTCACCCTGCCAGGGCGCACCCCCGACCCTCAGCCTCCCCGACGCTCCCCCGGTCACTTCTCCACCCTTGGCTGGAGGCAGCAACAAGGAAGATTCCAGAACTGAAGAAATCGAGGAAGAAACCACCGTGTCTTCATTAAGAGGTAAAGCTGTTTTCTGGTGTGTGGGTTGTGTGTGTGTATGTGCGTGTGTGTGTGTGGCTGGGTGAGGGGCTCCCGTCCATCGCAGACACACGCCCCAGACTGGGGAGTAGTCAACACCCGCCCGGCCTGCTTGCTGCCCTGCTGTGGGGTCATCAGCTGGAAAAAGCTGCCCCAGGAAAAGTCAGGACGGAACTGCTTCCTGGATGTGGCCTCCTCTTTCCTGTGTTTTGTTTCTCATTTTCTTGCTTCTGGGGAATTTGTGGGACCAGCCCCAGGTTGCTGCCCGAGTGAGATGCCACCTCCCAGCCTGGGGCCAGCAGGGTCACGAGGAGGACACAAGAGTTGATTTTGAAGGGGGAGGTGGCGTTGGAGCAGACAGCCTCTGCCCAGGACCCCTGTGAAATAGGCATTTGGGGTGGGGGATGTCCCCTGGGGCCCTGGAGGGCCACTGTGCTGTTTGTCTGGATTCGTTCACTCAGTGTCATTGTTTGAGACTCGTCCACATTGAGATTTATCACCAGTTCATTCCTTGTTGGTGCTGAGTGGTATTCCCCTGGGTGGACGGACAAGCTCTCCGTGCGCTCACCTGCTGGCAGACCCTAGTCACAGGTGAAGCGGCTGCAGGGTTCTGGGTCAGGCTCCGTGTGGACACGTGCTCTCACTTCTCTCGGTAAACACTGTTACCGAGCAATGGGCTCACTCTGCTTGCCGAGATCAGAGCTAGTTAATCACAGCAAGTTAGGGATCGAGAAACGAAGTTTTAATTCGATTAGCCTGTATAACCGGGAAGACGGCAGACTAACGTCTCAAGAGAGCTATCTTCAAGGATTGCAGAATCTTGAGGCAGTTATATAGGGAAAATGGGCAGTGAGAGGGGGTCCAGGGATGTCGGTCTCCAGGCATGACGGGTTCTAGGCATCACGTTGTTCCATCCTGCTGCCAGCTGTGATGGAACATACCTTGCAGGTGTGTTTCCCACCTGTGGTCAGCCTGTTCCTGGAGAGAAACTCATAGAACAAAGTTTTAATTTATCAAGCTATTGGGAAGTACATATGTAAGTGGAGGCCGTAAATCAGGAGAGCGTGTGAATTGTTTGGAGAGCAGAGCAGCGAGTAGTCACACGGAGGAGGGGCTGGGGCCACTTAGCGTAACAAGATGGCCTCACTTCTGCTCCCTTACAACACCTTGGAGTGGAGCATCTGGATCACACGATGGGGTGTGTTTAATGATTTAAGACACTGTTTTCCAAAGCAGCTGCACACGATGTTCCCACCGGAGCCCTGGTCCCTTCACACCCTCGCCAACACGAGGAGTCGGTTGTAACCGTTCTAACAGGTGTGAGGTGGCATCTCCTCGTGGCTTTAATCTGCATTTCCTGATGGCTGGTGACGTTGAGCACCTTCTCATGTGCTTATTTGCTATTCACGTGTTGTCTTTAGTAAAGAATCTGTTCAAATCTTACTCCCGTTTTTTAATGGGCTGAGTTTTGCGAGTTCTTTGTGTATTCTGGATAGGACCATTTATCACACGTATGGTCTTAGTCTGTGGCTTGTCTTTTCATTTTGTTGATAGTGCCTTCAGAAGAGCAAAAGTGTTTATTTTTGATGAAATTCAATTCATCGTTCTTTTATGGATCTTACTTTCGGTGTCATATCTAGGAGATCTGCCTAAGCCAGGGTCACAGACGTTCTCCACTGTCTTCTGGAAGGTTTGTAGTTTTAGGTTTTACATTTAGGTCGGTGTCACATTCGTGACAGTATATGACATGAAGCATGGATTGCAGCTCTTTTGTTTTTATACGTGTCCTGTTGTTCCAGCACCATTTATCAAAAAGACCGTCCTTTGTTGGAAATCAGTTGTCCATGTGTGCACGCGTCTGCTTCTGGCCTCTGTTCTGTCCCGTGACCTATCTGTCCTGGTTACCGTAGCTTCATAATAAGTCTTGAAATCTGGTTTGCTGTCAAATCCTCCGCGTTTGTCCTTCCTTCACAAAATCGCTGTGTCTTCTATGTCTTTTTCATTTTCTTACAAACATTAGAATCAGTTTGTCAATTTCTGTAAAAACAGCCGGCAGGGGTTTTGATTGGGATGTTGCTGACTCTATGAGTCGGTTTTGGGGGCGGGCACAGACATCTGAGGAGGATTGCGTCTCCGACCGTGACCACAAGACATCTTCTTCATTCAGGGCTGTGCTCCCTCTTAGTGATGTTTTTGCAGTTTTAGATGCTCGCTGAGGCAGGGACTTTAAATTGCCTTAAATCATGCTAATACTTAGAACATGTCCTGGGAGGTTTCCAGCTTCCACGAGGGGGAGGGGCGGGGCTGCCCTCCTGGGGCCACCCTGTAATTCGAGGTGGGTCCTCAGTGGGTCCTCAGTGGGTGGGGTCAGGGCGGGTCGGAGCCACAGGGGCATCAGCCTGGGCCAGGAGCCCCAGCTTCTGAGCAGAGCCAGCCTGGTGCAGGGCTGTGCTCGAGGGCAGCAGCCGGAGACCCCAGCGTGGCTGTGGCTCCTATCTCTTCTGGAAACAGGGACCAGCGTCTCCAGAGCTGTGCGAGTGGGTGAGGTTGTGCAGCCCTGGACAGTGTGAGCCCCTCCCAAGTGGTCCCATCCACATTCAACCAAAGGGCCTCAGATCCCTTCCAGTCCGCAAGCTCTCCCTCCACACTGTCTGAGCGCCCGTCCAGCCCCAGCCAGGGGGCAGAGCGTCCTCCACGCGACCCTCAGAGAACTAGACTTCTGCGAGCCCGAGAGCGCAGGGTTCAGTGGGGCCTGAGTCCTGAGTCTCTGATCCACTCAGCGGTGCTAGCCTGTTGGACGAAAGGCTCGGGTCTCAAAGGTCACCCCACTTGTCAATCACAAAGGGAAGGGCGCCCATCCTGAACTCGATCCTGAGGAATTCCGCAGACGGGGGAGGGGGCAGGGATGACCAAGGGCGGGCAGGGCATACTGCAGGTGGGGGGCTGCGTGGGGGCCGTGGGGGGGCTGCCCAGGGGGCAGCGTGGGGGATGCATGGGGGCTTCCTGGGGGGATGCGTGGGGGCCTTGTGGGGCAGCATGGGGGCTGCCATGGGGGGATGCGTGGGGGCCTCGTGGGGCCGCATGGGGGGCAGCATGGGGGATGCTTGGGGGCCACCTGGGGACAGCGTGGGGGCCTCGGCCTTCTTCTCTGGGTTGTTTGTTGTTTTCACAACCCTTGGGAACCAGGGCCCCATAAACCAGGCCGAGGGCTGATTTGGCCAGATTTGGCCCCTGGGCAGGACCCTTGTCAGGTCCCGGAACCCTCTCCGTCACCGTCCCAAAAAGAAGCTACAAAGGACGCCGCTGGGCCTGCAGAGAAACGCGAATCCAGGCTGTGTTAGGTCACCGTGCACAGCGATGCTGCGTTTCCCGAGCGTGACCGTCGGGTTCTCAGAAGGAGTCCTTACTCTTAGGAAACGCGTGACCTTCAGGGCAGAAGGATCGTGATAAACACAGCTGACTCTCAAATGGCTCAGCAAGAGGAGTGTGTGTGTGTGTGCGCGCGTGCGCGCGTGAGAAAGTGCTGGAGTGCGTGCTCCACGTCAGGGCTGAGTGCCGGGCCAGCGGGCAGCCATGAGGACCGGGCAGCGAGCTGACAGCAGAGCCTGGGCCGCCGTTCCCGGGCCTGACGTCCACCTCTGCCTCCCCAGCCCACACCCTCCCCGGCTCGGATACAGCTGCCACGTGGGACGGGAGCGCCCGGAGCCCTGGGGGCCGCGTGGTAGAGGTGAGGCCACCTCCCCTGACTCAGGACCACAGGGGCTGCAGGGCAGTCAGTCGGTGCCTCTGGTCCACTTACGTGACCTGAGGGAGCTCCTGGGGCTCACGCCCCTTCCTCTGAGCCCCCTCCCGTGCCCCGAACACGGTGGGCAGCAGCAGCCACTGGGTGTCCACGGCTGGGGTGGCTCCCTGGCTCGCAGCACCGGGAACCCATAATCCGACTCGCATGTGGGCAGAGCCGTGTTGGTGTCAGTGCCGCACAGTGGCCCCTGTGTGTTCACCATGCATGTCCTCTGTCCACTCTGTGTCCACTCTGCATGTCCCCCATGTGATACTGAGCCCAGCCCAGGACTCCGGAGGGCGCAGCCACGGGTGCGCGGGCCAGCGTGTGGCCCTTCAGCCTGTACCCTCTCCTCTTTGTCCCCAGGGAGGCCTCAAGGGGCAGAAGGGGGAGCCGGGCCTGCCCGGCCCAGTTGGTCCCCAGGGTCCCGCAGGCCCGGCCATGCACAGCCCTGATGCACAGCCTGTCCCTGGGCCACAAGGACCCCCCGGACCTCCGGGGCCGCCGGGGAAAGATGGTGCCCCCGGAAGGGACGGCGAGCCAGTGAGTGCATGTCTCCCCTTGGTCCACCTGGGGGCGGGGGCTTGGGCAGGACGGGGAGAGGGTGCGACTGCAGCTGATGTGGCAGAGCAGCGGGTCCTTGGGACCCTGGAGACCCCAAGATGACCCCCTACTCTCTCCCTGTGGGAGAGCCTGGAGAGTGTCAGGCAGGGCCAGCTCTGGGTCAGCTGGCCGGGACGAAGGCTGCAGGGCATTTGATGGAGGTTCTTCACCTGCAGATGGAGAGCCACAGGCGTCCAGATCTGCAGAGGGGTCCATATTCACGTCCAGATCGGGGTGCAGACGGGGTGTGATTCCAGCACTAATGGTTTCTCTTGCACATTCCAGGGGGGTCCCGGTGAAGATGGAAAACCCGTAAGTCTACTTTACTTTTCTCTCCGAGCCACATGCTGTCTGTGATGTACACGTCAGACCCTTAGGCCTCTCTGCCCCACACTCTACACTCAGCAAAGTGGAGAGGTTTCATGATGGAGCCATTTTGGAAGTGCAACTTAACTTTTGTTAAGAAAATATAAGTCTAACCGTTGATAGAAAGATATCATTATGCACGTGCATTGGGACGGTTAGGCTAGCTACCAGGGGAAAAAAAAGAAATGAAAGGTGTAGCTTCCAGATTCTTGGAGGAGAAAAATACCTAGCGGAGGAGCCGAGAGCCTGACCGCGAGGGAGGTGGGGGGGACCGCGGAAAAGCAGACGCGGCGGTGTCAGCGCAGGTTTGTCATGGCCTCGGTAGGTGGAGAGCTGCTGTCTTAAAACACTCAGTTGAGAGTTTTAATAATCAGCAAATGCTGTTTACAAGAAACGTGATAAAATGACACGGAAGGTCACACATACAGATTTGGGAACCCACAGCCCCGGCCAGTGGTAACAGAGGAGGCGGGAGGGAGTGTCCGTGGTCAGCCGTGGACTCGGGCCAGAGGGAACATCACAGCGACGACAGAGCGATCATTAATTCACCTTCACGGCCGATGACAAGGCTCTGCAGTCAGATCGTGATCCGAGAGTGAGGAAAGCAGCCAGTGCTCAGTCCAGGTGGCTCCACGGGGGTGCGTGGGTGCATGCGTGTACATGTGTGCATGCGTGTGCTTGTGTGTGTGCACGCGTGTGTCCAGGATCCAAATGACTGGATCAGCAAGCTTGCTCTGCAGCGGCACTGACTTTGGAGTCTGACAAACCCTGCGCTTCTTTCTCACACGCACGGACGTCCAGACACGGTGAGGGTCCTTTGGGCCGCGAGGGTCTCCTGCCCACTTACCCAGCCGGCACACACATAAGGGACCTAGCGCCCGCTCTCTGGCGAGGATGTACACGGGGACGCCGCCATCACTTTTGTGCAGACCCTCCCAGGTGTTGTTTTTAGGATGGGCCCATGTGGAGAGCCTCAGGGATCTCTGAGGCCGGAGCTGTCCGCTTGGGTCCTGACTCGGGGCCTGCCGCCACCCCGATTTCCCCCAGTGACCCCTGGAGGGCTCGGCTCCGTCTGCTCCGCGCTGTTCTGCAGCGGAGCTGACAGGGCGCAAAGCCGCGTGTTGTTGGCTCGGATGGTGACAAGGCAGAGGTGCCTTCTCCCTGACCGGGCTGCCTGACCTCTGTCTTCCAGGGCGACACTGGGCCACAGGGCTTCCCGGGAACCCCGGGGGACGTGGGCCCCAAAGGCGAGAAGGTGAGAGTCTGACCCGGCTGGGGCCTGGGCGGGCGCGTTAGTCTCCACCCCCCAGCGCGCAGTGGGAGCCATGCACCCTGGTGTAATGGGTTGTCTCGTGTTCCCAGGGGGATCCTGGGGTCGGGCCAAGAGGACCCCCAGGACCCCAAGGGCCTCCGGGACCACCGGGACCCTCCTTCAGACACGACAAGCTGGTGAGTCTCGCCTTTGGGGGTCGGCCTGCCATCCTGGGAGGAGGGACCCTCCTCTCCCAACTCTTGCTTGGCTTCTTAGCGCCTCGCTCTTCAGATCCAGAACCGGCCTTCCTGGGGGGATGTCCAGGCCCAGGGGAACAGCTCCTGCCTTCAGGGGCTCAGGTGGGCCGGGCTGGGCTGTGGGGCTGCAGGGTGAGGCCTGCCCTGCCCTCCCTTCACTGGTCTCTCCCTTGGTGGGGAGCCGCATTCACTTTCTCTCTGCTTCTCGCTGTCAGCATCTTGAACAGTGGGTGGCGCTCAGGGAGCCGTGTTGCTCGGGGGCGAGCAGGCTGCGGGCAGGACGTGGGCCAGGCCGGGTGGGGGTCTGGACTCCTGGTGACGTGTCTCCTGGTTCTTCCCCTCAGACCTTCATTGACATGGAGGGGTCCGGCTTCGGTGGTGACCTGGAGACCCTCCGAGTGAGTGTCCCTCAGCTCGGGTGGCCTGCCCTGCCGTCTCAGTGCACAAGTGGACCTGAGGCTCGATTGGGGGTGGGGGCCCCCTCGGTGGGTGCTGTGTGCCATGACCCTTCTGTGCTTGCTCCTGTCCAGGGCCCACGAGGCTTCCCTGGCCCCCCTGGGCCCCCCGGCGTCCCAGGCCTGCCCGGAGAGCCAGGCCGCTTCGGGATGAACAGCTCAGACGTCGCAGGACCTGCGGGCCTTCCCGGTGTGCCTGGGCGGGAGGGGCCCCCCGGGCTCCCTGGCCCTCCGGTAAGGCCTGCCTCCCCTCTTCTCCCCTTGTCCCCTCCAGGGGTCAGCCAGGAATAGGGGTGAACACCCAGCGTGGGGCCTCTCCCCTGTCCGGGCACAAGGTCCCCCACCTCTGGACTCCCCTGTCCTCACCACTGCTCCCCAAATCCTTGCAGGGAGGGGGGCTCCTGTCTCTGGCCCCCAGGGTAGGGAGGAACCTGAGTGGGCTGACCCGAGACCACACACAACGCCGCCCCCCTCTCTGGTCTTCAGCGGGTCAGCTGACCTCCCAGAGGCCGACTCTGGGAATGATTCTCATGGGATCGGGGGCGGGCCTCACTGCCCAGAGGACGGGGGAGCCCTGAGGAGCCCGAATTTGGCTGACTCCACTCCACGTTCACGGGGACCTCGGAGCCCTGCCAACCCCCTGCTCCTGGCACTGGGGACACTGTGGCCTGGTGGGTGCCCAGGTGTGGCCATTATAATCTGGACACATGAACCAGGTGCCCATAGCCTGGTTTTCGCTGGGTCGAGTGCCCCAGACCTATAATCCAATGAGTGTGTGGGGTTGTCCCATTGATGGCGTGCCATTCCTCTGTAGTGAGTCTCACGTCAGTGAGCAGGGCGGCCCGCCTTCTCATCTTCCCCAATTTGATCGGCAACTCAAAAAAATTTAAAAAAGGAAAGGGAAGAAATGAAAACCTAAACAGAGCTGTCTGAGCTCTCGTCTGAGTTACCGTGAGTGGGGTCTCCTGTGAGCCACAGGACTCTGGGCCGTATCCGGGGAACGTTCCGGTGTCCTCGGTTCTCTGGAAGTCTGTGGACGCCCAGATGATCGTCTGCTAACTCAGGAGTCTTTCTCAGCCTCTGAATTCCATGTGGCCCCACGCTCTGCTCTTCTTCCCCCCAGGGACCCCCAGGTCCTCCAGGAAAAGACGGGCGACCAGGAGGGACCGGCCAGAAAGGCAGCCTCGTAAGTCACTTCCCCAGGCACCCAGGGTGGAGGTGACCAGGCACCACACGGTGTGGCCAGAGGGTGACCAAACCCTGGATATTTGGGGACGCAGTCCCGGTGGCCTCATGGAGGAGAAACGCCACAAGGGTGGCGGCGCCTGACGCTGTGGTGGATTTGCTCCAACATGTAGCCAACGTCTGCCATCGTAGTCACCGCCCCGCGGCCGGGACCTCGTGCTCTGGAAGTTGCCTAGAGCTCGGCTGGCTGGGGCTCGTGCGGGAGGTCAGGCCCTTGTCGCTGTTGCTTCACGACTATTGGACTAGCGTCTTTTGAAGAATGCTTCTTCCGTTGATCGGGACGTTTTTTTCAAGTTTCCGTTTCTGTTACATCGATAATGGAGAAACTTCCGACGCTGCACAGATCTCTCAGGGGCCCACGGTTTCCACGAGGTTGTTTGGTGAATGACCGTGGAGGTGCTCCCGAAACCTCGTCTGAAGACGATGCTCCGTATGATACTTTCCAGGAGCACCTGGCAGTCTGGGTCAGAGCAGAGGAGGGCGTTTTAAGTGGAGCCTCCTGTGCCCACGCTTGTCACTGTGGTGGCAGCCGGGCCGGAAGGCTTTCCCCCAGGAGGCGTTGGCCCTCGGCACACAGGCCCTGGTGGAGGTGCGCTGGGCAGCCGGTCAGTCCTGGCCCCTCACGCCGAGCCTCCTTGGAGTCTCCATCCCCACCTGAAACGGGCGATGGCGGGCACAGCCAGAGCTGCGCCAGGGCCACAAGGAGACGCTCCGAGTTCTAGACTCCTGTCTCCCAGGAGTGGCCCTCAGGCAGCCAGCTCCCACGGCCAGGAGGCAGGAAAATCAGAAACAATTAAATCAGCATAAACACGACCTCGTGGGTCAGGGTAAAATGAGTGAAACACTGTTTGCTTCTCTCTTGCTGGCTGCATATTGGTCTGATTTTGTAGTAATTACTCTGTTTTTCCCGCAGGGCAAAGCAGGCGCCCCAGGACCTAAGGTACAGGCAGAACACTCTGGTGCTATGTTCTTCCAAATGGGGTCGGCCGCTGGGTGGAAACACCCCTGGGAGGGTGCTGGGCTGGGGTGGGGACTGGCAGCCAAGCAAGCGAGCTCTCCTTGGCACTGGTCATGGGGTCTGACTCTGAGCCCCAGCTCTGTCCAGCCGGCCAGCCCTGGTGGGGCATCCCGTTTCTCCTGCATGGTCCTTTCCACTCGAGTCCTGGTCTGCAGATGAAGTGGGATCAGATCTGCTCAGCAGCTGGTGGCCTCTTTGGAAACAAGCTCCTAGTGAAAACTTGTGTGATGAAGTGGCCCCCCGGCGACTTCCAGGGGTGGGAGCAGGCTGCTGGAGGTTGGGGTGCCGCTGGGGGCCCCAGTGTGGTCCAGAGGGGTCCCTGATGCTCTCACACAAGGGGTCCTGGGAGGCCAGCCCAGCACAGGGCCTCACTGCTGGGTCTGTGCCAACGCCCCCACAGCCAGCCCCGGGGTCCCTCTGGAGGATCAGCTGCCTAAGGGCTGGACCAGGTGGGCGCTAACCAGAAACTTCCCCAGCAAGTCACAGGGGCTGTCACCCAGGGAGACTGGTAGCGCAGCTCCGGGCTTGGGGTCCACTTGGAAATCTCCATGGGGAGAAATTGAGGGAGAGGCTGACGCTGGGATCAGCAGGTCAGGAGGGGCCTAGAGAAAGAGATGAGGTTCAGAGTAGACACATAGACACACACACGTGTGTAGATACAGGCTTTGGGGATAAACCAGGAATCCTGCTTGATGAGGTTTAAAACAAGGGAAAGGTGACAGCGGGGACAAAATCAAGTGTCAGAGACGAGAACAGGTTCTGGCATGTGGAAGCAAGCGACTGCCTTTATGATCCAGATCCCGGACACCAGGGTTAGACCTTCAGATACAAAGATAACTCAGACTTACGGAAACCTCAAGTAACTTGAATAAGAGTTCTAGATCCCTACAACCCAATTATAAACCAAGTAGGAAACTGAAGGAAAAAAACAGGTAAGACTAGAAAGAAGTTTCAAAGAACAAACTTTTTTGTAGAAACTTTTTAAAGATAAAAAATTAGGTGAGATGTTTAAATGTGATAACAGGGTTAAAGGCTGAGATCAAGACAGACATTCCGGTCAGATTGTTACTGAGCAATGGGCTCGCTCTGCTCACCGTGGTCTGAGCCAATTAATCACGAGTTAAGGGTCGAGAAAGGAAGTTTGATTAGATTAGCCAGTGAATCGGAAGATGGGTGACTGATATCTCAAAAGAACCACGTTCAAGGATTGCAGAATCTTGAGGCAGTTGTATAGGGAAAGTTATATAGGGAAAGGCACTTATATAGGGAAAATGGGCAGTGAGGAGGGGTCCAGGCGTGACGGGCTCCAGGCATCACGTTGTTTCATTCTTCTGTCAGCTGTGATGGATACCTTGTAGGTGTGTTTCCTGCCTGTGGTCAGCCTGTTCCTGGAGAGAAACTCATAGAACAAAGTTTTAATTTATCAAGCTATTGGGGAGTACATATGTAAGTGGAGAGCATGTGAGTTTTTTGGAGTCCGTGCAGAGCAGTGAGTAGTCACACAGAGGAGGAGCTGGGGCCGCTTAGCGTAACAAGATGGCCTCACTTATGTTCACTTACAAAATTAGTTAAATGTCTGTTAGATAAAAACAGATGGACGTAGAGCCAAGAGGTAACAGAGACGATCCCTCAAGGAGGTGGCAATGGAAGATGGGGCACCTGCAGAGGATGGGGGGCTGCGATGAGAGGACCCCCACGGGAGTGGCTGAGGAGGGTGTGGTGCTGGCAGTGAGGTCCAAGTGGAGAGGGGTTCCGAGAGGAGAGGCTGTGCTGGCCATTGCCTGTGCCCTGGAAAGGCGGCCTCCTCCGTCCTGCTGGACTTGCTACGGGAACAGGGCAGCAGGTCCCACTCCTGCCCTCCCTACGGGCCAGTGGGCTCGGTGTGCCCCCCACAGCCCAGCGGAAACCCATGGTTCTCTCTGTTTACAGATGAGGACACTGAGGATCAAGGAGGTTAGGTGGCCTCGAGGGGGTGGGGCTAGGCCAAGCGATGGGTGGACCCCGGCCTCATGGCTGACCCTGCATGGAGCTGAGCCCTCTGCATGAGGGCCTCTGTGCCGAACGTCCTCGCATCGCTGTTGTGCTCCCACACAGAGCTCTCCCCCGGCCCTTGGGACCCCCGAACTCTGAGCAGCCAGGCTGCCTGGGCCGTGTGACACAGACGTGGCCGAGACTAGAGCCCCATGCCACACGTGCCTCCCAGCTCTCCTGCTCCTCCCTGAGGCCTCGGCGCCCCCACCTCTGGTGGTAATGGGGTCCTGGGCCCCACACCCCTGACTCGCTCTCAGCTCTTCTGCCTCCTCCCCCCTCATTCTCTGTCCCCTCCCTGTCGGGGAGCCGGAGCCCCGTGTGTGTAGCATGCTCTTGTGCTCAGTGCGTCCCGAGCCACGAGCGTCGAGCTCACCTGGAACAAGCGTGTCAGCCGCATGCGTCTGTGGTTCTCGCTCAATTGTCTTGTTAAGTGGATGAAATCGTTTCTTAAACTTGGAAGAAAAAGGGGTGCTGTGGGGTTTGCATTGCTTCGTGAAACATAATCTTTGGCTTTTCAGATGTTTAAGAAGCGTTGTAAGGAAACGTAAGGGCACTGGGGTTTAGCCGACACCCTGATGGCCGAGAGTGGTGACATTCAGTCTCCCACCTGTGCAGGGAAGCAAGGGAGACCCTGGCCCCATTGGTGCTCCTGGCGAGAACGGCTTGGCAGGACCCCCCGGACCAGCTGGACCACCAGGAGCCCCCGGCCCCCCTGGGCTCCCCGGGCCACCGGGACCAGGACTTGCCGCAGGGTTTGTGAGTACCAACTGCTCCCGGCCCCCAGAATGGCCCGCTCTGTGGCCCTGCAGCTACCCCCGGACATCCCGTACTCACCGGCACTTCCTGGGCAGAGGCCAAACTGGCCCTCCCTCCCCCTGGGCTTGTCCCTGGCCCTGTGGTGGAGCCCCTGGTCTGAGCCCTGAGCGGCTGTGCTGGCTCAGCAAGACCGGCTGGTCAGCCTCAGAGTGCACTGACCGCCAGGTATTTACAGCCTGGCTGTGTCTCTTGACTGCCTCACCGCCTGGACAGTGCCCCCTGCTGGAGCCGTGGGTGGTGGGAGGGAGCAGCAGGCCCATTTCTGCAGATGGTCACTGCTCGGGGATTATGTCCCGTGTGTGCTGCTCGAGGGGGACAAAAGCAGAAACTAAACACCATGACACAGCCGGGCCCCCGGCACACGCCAGACCGAGCGTAAGGAACCTGAACCCAAGAAAAGCTGAGCAGGGCACCCACCCAGCAGGGCCCCCGCTGCCTGGCAGACTCTTCTTATCCCAGGACAGAGCACGGCCACTTCCAGGCGACCCCAGCCCTGGAATCCGCCCCACTCACCTCTGGCCGGGTCTCTGCCTCGGGCCAGTGGCCGGCCTCAGGGAGGGATCTCTTCCTGTAAGAAGAGACACAGTCCTGAGTGTCCCTCTCATGCTCTCCTCCAGGATGACATGGAAGGCTCCGGGGGCCCCCTCTGGTCGACGGTGCGAGGCGCCGACGGGCTGCAGGTACTGCCCGCGAGTCGGGCTTGGTCAGCTCTCGCCTGGGCCAGGGGAGTGTCCCCAGGGCTGGCCCGAGTAGGGACTGGGAGCAGCCTGCAGAGCCAGCAGGGCTGCCTCAGTCCAGGGCCTGTCCACCCTGGGGACCATGGGGAAGAGAATCGAGTCTCCAAAATGGGAAAACGCCCCTGGTGGTCGAGATAAATGGATGTGGGGCCGGGTGGGCCCTAAAAGATGGGCCCATCCTGCCCATCTTTCTGGGGAATATCAGTCAGTCAGTTCTCTTCTGGCTCTGATTTTAGGAAGTAGCAAACTTTTGACGTGAGTAGAATTTTGGTTAAATAAAAATGGGGCCTGCCTATGAAATGCCCCTGTGCTGTGCCGTTAACCTCTGCACTGGTCAGGATGAGATTCAGCTGGAGCCACCGAGAGCCGGAAATAACTGAGGCTTAGATGAGAAAGATGTGGGGGGCACGTCCAGGGCCTGTGCAGCTCCCCGACGTGGCCGTGGACCCCAGGAGGGCAGAGCAGGCGCTCCCTTCCCTCAGGAGCCCTCGGGGCCATTGCAGTCCCTGCCGGGGATGCTTGGGGGCGACCTTCAACCAGTGTCCAGCTTGACCCCTCGGAGTCAGGCTGGTGAAAGCGCGTGGTGGGCCAGGTTCCTGTTCTGAGCAACGTTAACGAGAATTTTCAATTGGGCAGAAACTAACTACGTAGTAAGCTAGGACAGCTCTACCGTTTTAACTTCGTACCTTCCGTTTTATATATTAAAAAAGTTTTAGTTTGTGGCAGTGCCGTGTGGCATCAGGTGAGATGTGAACGAGAGGTGACAGCATTGCTGTTGCTGTGACGTGAAGGAGGGGAGGACCTCGTGGGCGGCAGTGAGGTCCCTGGGGGCACGGGTCCCCTTTTTAGGGTTCTAAGCCCAGGTACACAGCTGAAGTGCCCCTTGACCTCTGAAGGGGTCGGCAGGGCCGTGTCACCTCAGAGGTGATGGAGACCTCGGGGGTCACAGCGTGGCTAAACCAGCCAGGGCCTTGGGCAGCCTTCCACCTGCTCAGATGAGCTTATCTTTAGTTAAATAAAAATGCAGGTTTATTTGTGTTGGGGTGAAGGCGCCTGTCAGGGCTGACTCTCAGGGTCACTCTCGCAGGTCCACCACCGTGGCCGGTTTGTGGTACGTCTGTGGGGCTCTAGGTGATGCCGGGCCAGACCACCCTCTTATGGAGTTTCAGGGCTGTGCTGGCTCCTATTGACAAACTCGGTTTTCTTCCATTTTCAATAAGAGCTGTGAGCACTGGGAGGGGCTTGTTTTCTTGTGGGAGAAAGGCCCCCACCCCCCACCCCCTGCAGCTGCACTAATGGGGCCTCTCCCTTCTCTGCCCGCACAGGGACCACCCGGCCTGCCTGGAGTCAAGGTCAGTGAGACAGTCATTATCCGGGCACCCCCGCTGCCCCCTTCCCTCCAGCTAGGATGGACCACTTAAGTGGCCCCAAAAAAAGAGGGACATAGGGGAGGGCCCCTCAGCCTTGGGAGCAGTGGATGGCGCCCAGACCTCCTCTCTGCCGCCCGCGTCTTCCCACCTCCCGGCCTTGCTCCCTGTCCCTGGAGGACACCAGCCCCACCCTCCCCGTGGTGGCGAGGGCAGAGGGTCACCCCACATTCAGGGTGTGCAGGGTCCACGTAGGATCAGCCCCTGCTGTTGCACCTGCTCCTTCTAGGATGTTTTGCCCTGATTTTGCAAAACTATGAGTCATTTCGAAGGTTGAAAAAGTTTTTAGAAGGATGCAGTTACTAGCTTTATTAAGTTGTTAAAAATGAAATCGTCTCATTGGAGCTGCTACTTAGAGTGAAATGATGGAAGGTGTGGGGCAGCTTCCAGAAAAGTCCAGGCTCTGTGCCCTCAGGATGTGACTGACCCTCTGAGCGGGGAGACCCTCTCCTTTCCTTCTCCAGGAGGAGGAGTGGACTCCGCTGTGGGAGTAGGCCTTGGGGTGGGCCGGCCCGCACTCACAGAGGCCCCTTTATCCACCTTAGGGGGATCCTGGAGCAGCTGGGCCACCGGGGACCAAGGTAAGAACTTTTTCTCGGGGTCAGGAAATAGACGATCTTGACCAGCCCTGGTCTTGGGGACAGGGAGGGGTCCCCAGGCTGAGGCCAGAAGCCTTGGCTGGACTGTGGCTCCCTCGGCCCCATCAGGTCTGGAGTGGCCCCTGAGGCCCAGCATGGCCTTGGACCTGGAGGTCTGCACGGGGCCAAGCTCCACGCCAGGCCAGCACCCCCGCCTCTGGTTTTCCCCGTGTCGTCTTGGCCCTGACTCTATTCCTTAGAATTTAAAACGTGTGTGTTCCGAAGGTGACCCCTCATCCCCCGCTCTGCACCTAATCGCAGGGCACTTCCCAAGACATCTGCCCCCCAGGGCACCCAGTACCCCTAGGACACACCCCCTCAAGGCTACCTACCCCCAACGCATCCCCTCTGCGGACACTGACCTCCCAGGACACCCTGCAGGGCACCCTGCCCCACCCCCTGGGCTTCCTCCTGGCTCTGCGTGGTAAATCCTGGGAGCCAGCTGAGTCGTCTGACGCCCCCGGCCCCTCCTGCCCTCCTCGGCCCCCACATACACCTGAGGAGGCCGAGCAGATTGAATTGTCCTCAAGGGTGTGAGCTAGTAACTGACAGAGGCCCTGTCAGTCACCGCCCCAGGTGCCGTGGCCCGTGGCTCATGGCCTGTGGGCTGATGCGTGGTTCTCGCATCTGTTGCAGGGAGAAGTCGGAGCTGACGGAGCTCCTGGGTTCCCTGGTCTCCCCGGCAGAGATGGCACGGCTGGAGCCCAGGTGAGTGACCGCCATGGGCCCAGGGCTGTGGGGGGCAGCACCCCCGAAGGAGCCGTGACTGGATGAGGGCTGGCACCTCAGTGTGGTCTTTGGGGTCTCTGACCCAGTTCTCTGTACCGCAAGGGGCCAGGAGACCCCAGCTCTGCGGGATGTGAGTGGGGGGTCCAGACTGTCCGAGGGGTTTCCTTTGGTTGCCTGGCTCCCCTCCACCCCCAGCGCCATTTGGTCAGAGAAGGAGGAACTCTCCATGTCCTCGTTAGGAGTGGGTCTCCACGGTGTGGGGTCTCTGGAGAGGAGACTGGTGTTCTCTTCATGATGACCGTTTCCCTTCTGTCTCCACAGGGACCAAAAGGAGAAAAAGGGACTCAGGGAGAGAAGGTGAGTGGGGAGTGGGCTGGGTCCACAGGCCGGGCGGCGGGCTGCCCTCTACCCCGTGCCATCCACGTGGCCTCGGAGACTTGGGGTGAAAACCCTCAAGTTTGGGGCAATCTCAGGGTTGAAGTGAGAGAGTCCCAGCTCGGAGCCTGCCCTGCCTTGGGTGAGGGCTCTCAGGGCCTGCCCACACCTGTGGGCTCTGGGGACCCGTCCAAGTCCTGGGTGCGCTCAGGGGTCCCCCCCAGAGCCGCCATGACAGTTCCTCCCCTGCAATCAGTCCAAGTGCTAGACCCTCGCTTCTCTTCCAGGGCGACCCAGGGAAGGACGGAGTGGGGCAGCCAGGCCTCCCTGGACCCCCCGGACCCCCAGGGCCTGTCGTCTACGTGAAGGAGCAGGACGTAAGGACGCTGCATGGGTGGGCATGTGCTCTGCCCGGACCCCCCAGCACTGGTTCCGGCCGGTGCAGGCCCAGCGGCCATGGGCCCCGCTCTGACTCAAGGGGGCTGGGAGCCCATGGGTCAGGGCCACGAGCCCTCCCCTGTAGGGCACCAGGGTTTCTAATCTGCTGGTTCTATTAAAGACCAGCGACCATGTCTGTGTCTAGTGAGACTTTTTAATTATTTAAAAGAGAAGAAATACACGAGGTTGGGTGTCCAGAGAGAATTGATAATTCTGTAGCAAAAAACTGTAAATGGAGAAACCTCCCTCTCCGTGGAGGCCTGTGGGCTTCTCAGCTGTCGAGCCAGGCTTTCCGGATGCTGGCACGTCCCCTCCGGCCTCTGGCACACAGCCGGGGAGGCAGGAGACTGGTCCCCTGGTCCCACGGTGACCGGAAGCTTCTGTGGTGCAGAAGTGGCTTCGCTTCTGTCTGAGGACCCTGAAGCAAGAGCCAGAAAGACCATTGAAAGAGAAATTTCCTTCCTATCTAACTCCTCTTGTTGTTTTGTTGATCTTGTGGCGGTAGTGTACGAGTGGGATTTTAACCGTAAACGTGGTTTTCCTTTTTTTTCCTGATTCTGTTGTCTCTGCTGACTTGCGGACAGAGAGCATTGGCCAGCATGCCGGGGCCCGAGGTAAGTGCCGCCCCGTCTGGGACCCATTCACGCCCGTCACGTCCACCCTGAACTGACGCTGTTGCTCTCTCCCGCAGGGCCGCCCCGGGTTCGCGGGCTTTCCTGTAAGTCGCCTTGTGGCCTCACCCCTGCGCTGACCAGGACCCCCTGGCAAGCCCAGTGCTGGGTGGGCGCCTGGGAGGCTGAGGAACTTTCTGGCTCCTGAACAGAAGCCCCCAGGGTCTGGGGTGGGGGTCTGGGGTGGGTGGAGCAGGCCCTCCTTTGCCTGTAACTGGTCAGGGCCTCGGGTCAGGTGCCGTCTGGGCAGTCGCGGTGGGAGGGGACGTGCTCGCCCATTGCAGGGACAGGGTCCCTGGTGTAGGCGCCTCATTCCTGCTTCTGCTCACAGGGACCGGCTGGGCCAAAGGGAGATCTGGGCACCAAAGGCCAGCAGGGCCTGCCGGGCCCCAAGGTGAGGGGTTGGGACACCGTCTGCTCAGGGGCAGCCCTTCCGTGACCCTGAGGGGTAGTCTGCGTCCACCCAGGTGACCACTCCAGGCTTGGGGGAACCCGGGTGCCTGCATGGCTGACCTGCAGATGTCACGTGGGGAGCTGTGACCCGGAGCGTGATGGATTCCAATGCGGGTTCTCGCGGTCACATCTCTGTGGCCTGTGGGGCCCTGGGCCGAGACACCCCGACCACAGAGCCCCGTGAAGGGGGGGCCTGCTCACCACATGCCGGGGTGCTCTGGTTGAAGCCCCGAGTTGGGGCTTTGCTGTGGTGGGTGCGAGGCCCCACTCCTCCCACTGTTCCAGGGCGAGAAGGGCGAGCCGGGCGCAGTCTTTGGCCCAGATGGCAGAGTGCTGACTGCCCCCCAGAAAGGAGCCAAGGTGAGGCAGCCGTGTGGCCTTGTTTCTCGCCCTCTGCAAGCTGGGGCAGCGGGGTGTCCGGGGGCCTGGAGACAGCACAGGGGGGGTTGTCTTCCTGAGAGGGGCCAGCTCCTGCCCATGCATGAGAGCCTTTCCTGAGCAGGGTTCTGGAACCTTCTGCAGCCTGGGCCCCTCACCTTCCCTGTCTATTCTTCTCTCACAGCCACATTGGGAGGGTCCTCAAGGCCCCCCAGTGCCTGCATGGCCCCTGGTCGGCCCCTGCCACTGGGGGCACTCTGGGGGCCGTGACTCCGGGCTCCCAGGCTTTGCCCAGCAGGAGCTGCCCGGCCCTGTGGTGTCCGGGTGCCTCTCAGCCTCTTCTGGGGGCGCTGCCGCTGGGGGCGGGGGTCCCAGCCCTCCTTTCTCAGGAGGGAGCCGAGCATGGCTGAGGTCGGTGGTGGGCTCCTTAAAGGACCTGGGCCCTGGGTCCCCCTTCCCAGCAGGTAACCTCTCAGACAGGCCCCAGGGAGTGTCCTGGGGAGGGGCCGGACCCAGATGGGGTAGCTGTAGGGGGCAGGCCTGCGGGGCATCCTGAGCCCCTGGGATTGTTTAGGGATGGGCCACGGGACCCTGGATGCCCAGGCCCAGAGAAAGCTCTGCTTGTCCCGCCCGGCGTTGCATCTGAGGTTCGTGCCTGTGGTGACCTGGGCCAGGGTACTGCACGGGCAGGGCCCCCAAGCTTCCGGGCCCCCAGGCTGCGCCCCACCTGTGCACCCCTGGGACACAAGCCCCAGTCCAGAATCTTCTCTCTGCTGCTGTTTCCTTTCCTCCCCTGGTGTTGTGCGAGCCTCAGGCACTGCCCGGGGCATCCAGATGGGCATGGAGACATGTCTGGGGGCTGCCCGGTGTGGGTGACCTGCGGCCACCTGATGTGCCTTCTGGTTTTCTGTTCAGGGCGAGCCCGGCTTCCGAGGACCCCCGGTGAGTAGGCCCCCGCTTCCCTGCAGGGAACACGCGTGTGCATGTCTGGAAGGCCACATGAGGCTGCCGAAGGCACCTGTCACCACCTGGCACTGAGCCGGCACAAGTGGCCTGAGTTTACCTCCCAGCTGCACCTTTAGAACGTGGGTGTTGGGCTGGAGAGCACAGTGGGCTGGTCTCCGCTCACCTAAAACGTGCCCCCCCCCGCCCCCACAGGGTCCATACGGACGGCCTGGGCACAAGGGAGAGATTGGCTTCCCTGGACGGCCGGTAAGGACGCTGGTCTCCTGCCATGTGTGTGGGCAGCAGCTTGGGCTTGGCAGGCAGTGAGCGGCCCAGGGCCACAGGGATGTTGGGGCTGATGTGGGTAGACGGCCACTCCTCCATTGTCCTTCCTGGGTACCAGCCCTGCCTGAGCACAGCGCTCTCCGGAACAGGGGCAAGGGATTCCTGGGCTCTGTTCTCAGGTGGATTGGGCCCCAAGGGGCTGACACCCTAGGAGGTCCTGGGTGGCGGGCAGGAACTGTGAGGCCAGCTCCCCAGAGCCCGAGGGCTGGGGTGTGTGAGGCTGGGGTTGGAGACCAAGGTGCCGGCTGAGGCCGTGGTCCTGGCCAGCTGTCCCCACCACTGTGCTCTACCCCAGGGTCGCCCCGGGATGAACGGATTGAAAGGCGAGAAAGGGGAGCCGGGAGAGGCCAGCGTCGGGTTTGGTGTGAGGGTGAGTGTCCTTTGAGGGGTGGCGAGGACACTCAGGGCCCCGGATGGCCGGGCTGGAATGTCCTCAGGGCCCACAGCTCACCTGGGGGAGGCTGCTGCTGAGTGACCTGGCAGTGTGACCCCACTGTGCTGGTCCTCTGACACAGAGCACACACACACACCCTTGCACAGCACACACACACGCCCACACATGCACACGGGCACACACAACCCAAGCCCCCCGGACAGAAACCCAGCATGGTGCTCTCGGAAGGGCGTCCGGGCGCATGTGCATTTGGGGGTGGCCCTTCCCTGCCGGTGGGGTTCTCTTCACTCAACACCAGTTTATAACTTTCAATAACTCTGCCATCTTTTGAGCCAAGGGTTTTATTTCAGTGACTCAGCGTGGTGGGGCATTTTTAGTTGTTTCTACCTGAGACAGCTGCTCTCCAGTCTCAGCACTCGCTTCTGGCTCGGCCAGGCGCCCAGCGACCCACCCACCGCCCTGTGTGCGTTTCCTCCTGGAGGCCCAGCCGGAGCGGGATCCCCTCCCGGCCCTCCCTGGCGCTGCCTCACACTCAGCGAGCCCAGCCCAGGTGGGGACACGGTGGTCCTGAGGTCAGCATTTCAGGCAACCCGCTCTTCCGGTTTTGTCCTCACTGCTGGTCCTTCATCGAGGCTGCGTTGCTTCTTGTGGACTGACACTTGGCTGTCGTCGCGTGAAAAGTCAGGAACAGAAGACAGCACCTTGCAGAGTTCTGCAAGAGTGATAGAGCAACAGGTCACGCTGGTCAGAAAGACTGGCTCCTGAGGTTCGAGGCGGATGTGAAAGGCTGTGGGCATGAGCCCCTTGCCAGTGCGTCTGGTGGGCCTGGGCTCCGTCTGCTCCTGGCCCCTCTGTGGACCTGAGATCCAAGCTCCAGTTCTGCCTCCAGCGCCTCCCTCCTCGGCCACAGTGGGACAGCGGCTTGGGGCGGGATTGCAGGGCATCGGTGGCCGGGCGACAGTGCCCTGGTCCCGCACAGTGACGCCGTGAGGAAGAGACGCACAGCTCACCGTTTATCCCGACGGCGCCTTCGAATCTCAGCCTGGCCCTGTGCTGAGTGAGCCTGGTGCCTTCAAACATGTACTTCTGGTGCCGCCTGCTCTCTTTCCAAGAATGAGTGAATACACGAAGATTCAGTCAAATTCACACACGCAACCTGAAGCCGCCAGCAGCGGCCTCCTTGGGTGCCCGTTTCACCTGGAAATACACAGCTGAACTTCAAAGGGTTTGCTGTTTGTGGCCACGTGGGTGGCGTGTCCACGTTCACGTCCAGTCTCGACGCTCTAGCTCGTCTTCTAAGGGACGTTTTGAGCATGACTGTCCTGGGAGCAGGAGGGGCAGCTCTGTCCTCAGGGACCCATGACCACTGGACACTTTCTCAATTATGTCATCAAACGCACTCAGTTTTCTGGTTTTATCGTGATGTTTGGAAATGCTCCCCGCACATCTGCCACCCTGGCCAGTGTCGACAGTCCAGCCATAAATGTGACTGACCAGAGCTTTCTGTCCTCCCCATACAGGGTGTGCCTGGCCCCCCAGGACCCCCAGGGCCTCCAGGCCCTCCCGGGACTCCTGTCTACGACACCAATGTAAGCCACGTGGCACCTGCCATACCGCCACCTCCCCATGCACCTCTCTACACTGTCTCTCAGAGGAGCTGCCACCCTCCTCGCCTCACTGCTGACCCCTGGGGAGGGGCTGACCTCCAGGGAGGAGCTGACCAGGGAGGGGCTGAGTGGGAGGGGCTGAACAGGGAGGACCCTACGCTGTGGCCTCTATGTCCCGGGGTGACTGCTTCTGGGAGGGTGGGTGGTGGACCCAGGCCCGCCTGTCTGGGGGCTGCACCTATCAGGCTGGCAATTAGGAGACAAGCCGTCCGAGGGAAGTACGGCCAGGGGAAGGGAGGACTCTCTGGATCTGGGAGTCTCAGCCCCAAGCCCCGTGGTCTGGGGGTGGAGGGCAGACACCCCCAGTTACAAGGCTCCGCAATATGAAGTGACCCACAGGGATAGGTCTCATCAGGACCAGGGCTCCCGATGCCAACCCCCCGTGTCTTCTCCCTCCCCTTCCCCACACCCTTGTCTGGCGGGGGTGTGCCCGTGTGGCCTTGCAGAGAGAGCCAGGGTGGGTGTTGGCCTCATTTCCAGAGCGTCTCCCTCATTGGCCTGCTCTGGCCCACTCTTCACAGGCGTTTGTGGAGTCTGGCCGCCCTGGGCCTCCAGGATTGCCAGGTGAGGGCTCCTGGGGCCCCAGGGAGGGCGGGCATTCTCGAGGCAGCGTGAATTCCCCAGTGCCCTGTGCACCCCAATCCCTATTGATTGTGATCCTCTTTCCTGAACCTCCTGGTCCCTCAGAACACGGCCTTCCAGGCAGTCTAACCATGGATGCGAGTGGACACTGAGTGGCCAGCCACTTGCTGTCTGCAGTTTGGATCTGGTTTCCCTGCCCGCAGAAACGTGTCGTAGCATGCTCCTGCCCGCTGCCGTGGCTTCTGGGAGCTGACCGCTGGGCTGTGGCCTCGGGGTGGGACCACTGAGCACTTCTGCTGGCCACAAGCTCTTGCTCTGACAGTCCCCAAGTCCATGTGACGTCCCTGTCCCCGGTCCAGGCCCACCTCAGTGCACACAGTGCCCCCAGGGTCGGGGAGGTGCATGGGCCAGACGGAATGTCCCAGAGGTTCTTGTCACACATTCAACAGTGGGCACTGGGGTCTCTGTTCCTCCAGGGCACCAGGGGCCTTCTGGACCAAAGGGTGACAAAGGAGAAGTGGGCCCGCCCGGACCACCAGGTGAGTGCTCAGGGCAGCCCTGGGCCGAGGGGCCAGGGCACCAAGAGTGGGTGGGTCCTTGATGCTAGCTGCGTGTGTGGTCACCCACCCTGCCCTCCAGGAGGAAGGAAGCCCCTTCCTGGCCCACAGGGCCCTGACGGGACTGGTGGTGCTGGGTCTGGATTTGGGGCCACCTGATCAGCCCCATAGCCTTGGGGCCACGGCTGGGGGCTGCAAAGACAGGCAGCTGGAGGAAGCAGGGCCGAGGCGATGTCCAGGCAGGATGCCCCATCACCTCGCCTGCTGAGGATCAGGGCTGGGCCCCAGGGTGCACCCTCCAGAGGAGATGGCACCCACTGTTTGTCAGGGTCCTGGGATGCCCCTGCCTTCCCACGGGCTGTGCAGGGGTCCTCGGGCAGGTCTGCCAGGGGGATGAACTCCTAGCACCTCAGACGTTTCCTCAGATAGTAAGAACCCCCCGCTGACTTCTGTTCCTGCTGCTGGATGAAATACGAGAAAACAGCATGTGAGAGTCGGGGCGCTGGCAGGACGGAACCCCGGGGAGCTGGGGCACCTCCTCCCCCCAGCACCACCAGCTGGCCAGGAGCCAGGGCCTCCAGGGAGGAGGGGGCTGTGGCCAGAGTGAGGGTGGGTCAGGGACCAGCCAGGTGGAGACGGCAGCCCAGATGTCCCTTAAGGGCTGCTGGAAGCAGGAGCAAACTTCGCTGAGGAAGATGAGCTCACAGAGGCCTGGGATTTAACGAAGACCGGGCAGTGAGCAAGATGGCCAGAAGGGACCGGAGCGGAAGAGGGAGGGCAGATGATGAGACGGGCCACAGGGGGCCCAGCCAGTGGAGCGTCCAGACGTGGGCTCAGCTGTGACGATGACATGCAAATGTGAGCGAAGATGGGGGTGTCAGCAGGGAGTTGGAGTCGGGTTTGATTCTGGGGCTGACAGCTGCGGCATTGGACTCCAGGGCCCCGTGTGAGTTGGGCAGACGAGACACAGCCAGAAAGAGGAAGTTAATGGAGGTCGTTCCGGGCGGAGGCTCGGAGGAGGACGGACCATCCTGATGGAGTGTAGACGCCGTAGTGTGAGGACACGGCCGCCATCGGTTGCCAGAAAGAGGGGGCACTGGCGGAAGAGCATTTGAAGGCGTAACGGCCGAGAGTTTTCCAAAACTGAGGAACCATTCAAAGACAGCTGATTTCTGTGCAGAGTGAGAGAAGCCGGAGGCCGTGAGCGGTTCCAGATGTCGGAAGCAAGTTACTGCTCGCTTAGAATTCTGCAGCCAGTGAAAGCATCCCTCATGATGAAGATGAAGAGGGCAGCGAGGCATCCAGGACTGCGGCCCTGACAGGGATGCTGAGGGCCGTCGGGGAGAAGGAAGTGAGGCTGATGAGAGCACAGGAGCAGGTGGGGGAGGAGCAGCAGAGAGCACAGTGACCCCGGTGGCTCCGCTTGACCCCACGCTGGGATGTCGCGGCCCAGACCCCAGCCCTGGTGGGAAGTGGGAAAGCCCGAGTCTACACGGGACTGCAAGCAAGGTGCACTGTGTCACCAGGGACGAGCCAAGGGTGGGAAGGAGAGTGTGGGTAATAACCCAACAGAAAGGAAGGTGGCGAAGAAAGAACTCAATCCAAAGTAGGCAAGGAAGGAGAAAAGGAATACGGAACAGGTGGAACAAATAGAAAATAGGAGTAAAACGGCTGATTTAAACCCAAGTATACAGTAAGTGTGTTACGTGTAAAGAGGGAGATGCTCCTACTGAAGACAGACGCGCCAGCAGGGAAAACTCTGTGCTGCCCACAGGAGCCCCCCAAACGGAAGGACGCCAGGCTGAGGGTGGGAGGAGGGGAACATGTTCCATGAGAAGGGAGCTGGGGAGGTGAACACGTGCTTGTGCCTCTGTGCACGTGTGTGTGCGAGTAATCAGACAAGCGTATCTTAGGGCGGGTAACGTTGCCAGAAATCAGAAAGCATTCATAATGGTGAAGGAGCAAACCCAGCAGGAAATACAGCAATTCTAAGTTTCTGTGCACGTGACAATATAGCTCCAAGACATAACAAGTAAAAATTGACAGAACTAAAAGGAAAAACACACAAACCAGTCATTATAGGGAAATTTTTTTATAGGATTTGTTTATTTATTTTTATTTTGAGGAAGATTGGCCCTGAGCTAAAATCTGTTGCCAGTCTTCCTCCTTTTTTCCTTTTGTCTCCCCAAAGTCCCAGTAGATAGTTGTATGTCATAGTTGTACACCCTTCTAGTTGCTCTATATGGGAGGCTGCCTCAGCATGGTTGGAGGAGCAATGCGTAGGTCTGAGCCCAGGATCCGAACCAGCGAACCCTGGGCCACCAAGGCGGAGTGCACGAACTTACCTGCTACAACACTGGGCTGGCCCCCTACAGGGGAATTTTAACCCTGCTCTCAGTAAGTGACGGAACGGCAGACATAAAAACAGATCGATCAGGAGATGGCGGGTCTGGACCGCGGTGGTGACCTCGACCTCTGGGCCCGGCACCAACGTGGAGACGCTGTCCCACCACACGGGCCCACACCGGGCTGAAAGCAAGGCTCTGGTTCTGAAGAGGTGGAATCATGCACAGTACGTTGTCTGACCAGAGTGGAAGAAGCAAGAAGTCAACGTCAAAGAAGCATAAGTGGAAACGCCCGCAGAGCACTGCCCTTCCAGATTAGAGCCGAGCTCGCCTGGAGCTGGAGGATAGCAAAGCAAGACTCGTCTCAGGCAGATGCGGGCAGCTAGGGCCTCGCTTGCAGGGGCTCTCAGCCCTCACTCTGCAGCCCGCAGTGGCCTTGGAGCCACGGGACCCCCACCCAATGGGGACCCTGCGTCAGGTCACCCAGCTCTGCCAAAGGACCCGGGACAGGAGCCGTGGTGACAGCACAGAGCGGGGCCGGCCCTGGGTGGGCATGGAGTTCCCCGTAACAGCCTAGGCAGAGCCCAGAGCTGGGGTTCCCACCAGGCCAGGGACTGTACCCCAGCTCTGCCAGGCCTTTTACCCAGCGGGGGGCCCACAACTCCAGGGAGCCCTGCCACCCCCCGGGGCTGATCGTGTGTAAGCTCTCCCCATCATGACCCCAACAGGGGTTATGTCACCCCAGTGGTCCGGCATGCCACCTTTATCAGGTTTCTAGGGGAAAGGTCATGCAGAAGGGTAACCCAAGGTCACTTTCCCTCCTGGAAGGAGAAAGCATTTTGTTAAGTCTTTGTTTACAAAATTATAGCCTTATGTAGTGTACGTTTCTAAGCCATCAGCTCAGGAAGTTAGAAAATGATTAGCAGCTTTACCTTGAAGAACATGGATGAGGAGAAATAGTAAAGATTAGAAGTAAATGAAGAGGGCCGGCCCCATGGCTTAGCGGTTAAGTGCTCGCGCTCCGCTGCTGGCGGCCCAGGTTTGGATCCCGGGCGCGCACCGACGCACCGCTTCTCCGGCCATGCTGGGGCCGCGTCCCACATACAGCAACTAGAAGGATGTGCAGCTGTGACATACAACTATCTACTGGGGCTTTGGGGGAAAAAATAAATAAATAAAATTATAAAAAAAAAAAAAAAGTAAATGAAGAAAAAAAAATATATATATATATAATAGGAAGCATCAAGAAAGTAAAAAAATCAAAAGTTAGTTCTTTGAAAAGACTAATAACACTGACACGCCCCTCGCAGGACTGAGAGAGGGGAGAGGCAACAGACGATGCTGGAAAAGGCTCTTCCACAGAGTGTCCCCGGGAGCGCCCTCCTGCCACCCTCAGTGGGGGACACGGGCTCCCCGGGGTCGGGGCCAAGGCAGGATGTCTGTCATCACCGCTCTGGGGTGCAGGCCCAGCCAGGGCGGGGGCAGGGGAGAGAAAGACATGGTGTGCATTTTGGAAAAGGAAGAAGGAAACCTGCTGTTTTCACAGACAACACATTTTTGAACGTCAACAACCCAGAAGGATCTACAGAGAAACTGTTAGAACTAATGAGTGAATCTACCAAGGTCAATTGACGAAAATCAATGACCTGTTGTAATCAAAATGGAATTTAAAAAGGCACCATTTAGAAAAGGAGATCAGATTGGTGGTTCCAGAGGCGGGCGGTGGGGGTGGGGAAATGGGTGAAGGGGGTCAAAAGGCACAGACTTCAGTTATTAGCAAGCTGAGTCTTGGGGAGAGGGGAGTCAGTGTGACAACTTGCAGAGGATCCCCACCAGACACACAGAAATGACGGGGCAGTGAGGAGGACGCGGCGGGGTGCGGGGTGAGGAAGGGAGGATGCGTGAAGACCCCTCACTCACTTCTCGCCTCCCTCAGGGCAGTTCCCGTTTGACTTCCTGCAGCTGGAGGCTGAAATGAAGGTGGGTGACACTCCTGGTCCTCGCGCCAAGCCCGTCTCAGACCACCACCCCCCGAGCTCCCCTCTGCCAACGCCATGTCGGGCGCTGGCCCCAGGATGCTCGCGGTCCTGGCTGGGTTTTGTGCGGACCCTGTTGATGCAGCGGAAGGCTGGGAAGCCTGGCCCTGTCCCGCAGGGCCTGCCAGGCCTGGGCTCCAGAAGCTTCCACTGCCGCACCCTGCCCACCTCTGGGGCTGTGGGGGTCAGTGCCCGCCCCGCCCAGCACTGAGAGGTGGACTGTCCCTAACCAGCGTTTCCATCCACAGGGGGAGAAGGGAGACAGAGGGGATGCCGGGCAGAAAGGTGAAAGGGGCGAGCCCGGGGGTGGCGGATTCTTCGGCTCCAGCGTGCCCGGCCCCCCTGGCCCGCCAGGCTACCCTGGGATTCCGGTAAGTCTGGGCCCCCAGGCATCCCTGTGACACACCCGCCTAGGCCCAGGTCTATGACAGAGCTGGTGTCCCCAGAGATCCCTGGGGCCCCCAGGGCGCCCCCTCCTGGTTCTTCGCCCCTGTGTGGGGGGCATGTGGCAGGCCGGGCAGGGGCACAGCCACTGTCCTTGCAGGGTGTGCTCTCTGACCTGGGGCGCCTCCTCTCGCCTGCTGGTGCTGTTCCCTAGACCCCTCAGGGAGACCGTCTGTCCTAAAAGATTCCAGGGAACCATGGGCCCCAACTTCTGTCTGGGGGTGGAGGAGGATTGAGGGCCCTGGGGAGTGCCCCTTTGTCCAGGGGCTGCTCTGGTCTAGTCCTGGGATCCCATCCTAGTGAAGAGTTTCCGAGGCCCTGTGGCGTGGGCAGGGAGGTGACGGTGGCTCAGAGGCTGCGCTTGTGGCAGGGGCTCTTGGTAGATGCGGCCTGGACCCTCAAGCTTGCTTGTCCCCGGCCTGAGGGACATAGGTGACAATGCCATGTGTTTTGTCCACCCCAGGGTCCTAAGGGAGAAAGCATCCGGGGCCAGCCCGGCCCACCTGGACCTCAGGGACCCCCCGGCATCGGCTACGAGGGACGTCAGGGGCCTCCCGGGCCCCCCGGCCCTCCAGGCCCCCCGGGGCCCCCTTCCTTTCCTGGCCCTTACAGGCAGAGTAAGTCGGGCAGGAGTGGGCCCTGGACTCCAGCCTCGTCCAGCCATGGCCACGTGTCTCACCTCTGGTTTCTCTCTTGTAGCCATCAGCGTTCCTGGCCCCCCAGGCCCACCTGGGCCCCCAGGACCCCCTGGCACCATGGGCACCTCCTCAGGGGTAAGCAGCCCCTGCCCCTCACCTGTCAGACCCTCACTTCCCAGCCGCCTGCCTGGCCGCCCTTCCCCTTGGAGGCCTGTGGAGGGCCGTTTCAGGGAGCCCCCGGTGGAGCCCACAGGGACCCGGTACTGAGGTGGGCATGGCCCTGGGGCAGGCGCACAGAAGCCCTGAGGTGTGGTTTCCAACGCAGAAGCAGGGAGCCCGGGGGTCTGAGATGGGCAGAGGAGAACAGGATGGCCGCTGAGGAGGTCCCCGTGGGTGGGTCCACTGCAGAGGCCCTGGTGGCCCAGGGACTCGCGGGGAGCCAGCCCCCCACAGTGCTCATGGGCAACTCGAGGACTTCACGCTGAGCACCCCTCCCTTTCTGGGGGCGGCGTCAGCCGCCCGGCCATCCCAGGGCGTTCTTAGGGGCCAGCCTGACGAGAAAGGCACCCACTGAAGTCTTAAGGTCTGTCCCTCATGAGGGGGCATCCGTGTCCCCATCCAGCACCCTGAAACATTCAGCACAGACCCCCGGATGCCCTACCCCACCCGGACTGTGTGCCTCCCCCATCACCCACCCTGTGAGCCCCGATGCTGCCTCTGTGCCCAGCGGGACCCCTTGGGCCTGGCTTCCGGCAGGTGAGGTTCTGGGCCACATACCAGACCATGCTGGAGAAGGTGCCCGAGGTGCCGGAGGGCTGGCTCATCTTCGTGGCTGAGAGGGAGGAGCTGTACGTCCGCGTCCACAACGGCTTCAGGAAGGTGCTGGTGAGTTCTCTGCACACAGAAGGGGTGGCGGCCTTCCTGCCTCGCCCGTGGGGTGTGGGATACGGGAGAAGCTGCAGGGCAGAGAGAGGGCCTGCACTGATGGGGGAGGCCCCATGCGCCTGGGCGGGGGCGCAGGGACCCAGGCCCACGGCCACTGCCCACAGCCAGCCTCACCGAGTCAGGACCGTCTTGCTGGGGCAGGCACTCCGTGGAGCCCAGTGACAGCCAGCGTTCTCTTCACGCTTCTTTTGTTAACCTTTTGCTTAGTAGACTGTTTTCACGAGCAGTCTCAGGTTTACAAAGAAGTGACTCTTACGCTTCTTTAAAGTAAATGGTGCATTAAACACGTTGTGTTCCAGACACTGGGATGCAGTGGGGAGGGCCGGGCGCCAGAGGTGGGGGGGTGGGGGTGGTGAGCAGAGTGCTGGCTCGTCGGAGGTCCCCGGCTGATCCGGGTGTTTTCTTCCAGCTGGAGGCCCGGACGCCCCTGCCCCGTGGGACGGTAAGGAGCCTTCTTCCTTCCACAACTGTGCGTTAGAGGCACGCGCCTCGGAGCCGGTGGATGCCCAGGCCACGCGGTCCGTGCGACGGTGGCGGTCTGTGCACTGCCTCCCGTTTCTGGAACCACACTTGGTGCTTTAGGGTCCTAGAGCCCCGTGCGCAGCCACCCCTGCTGGGGAGAGGGGTGTGTGGACCATGAGGGGTGCCTCCCCTCAGTCATGCTTGTCGCCTTTCCCAGGCGGGAGATCCACTCCTGGGGTCACAACCCATTTCTTGTTTGAGTCTGTCTTTATTCATCCAGAGTGCAGGGCCAGGGACAGACGCTTGGAGGGCAGGGCAGGGGGAGAAGAATGGGGGACCGATGGGCCAAAATAGTGAGTTTTCCTCAGTGTCGGTCCCGCTGCTGAGGGCTCCTGAGGAGAAGTCACGACTTCTCAGACAGCTCAGGAAGGAGGCCCTGTGCCAGGTAGCTGGTGTCAGGGGTTCCGGATGTGCCTGTCTGCTCATCAGGCTCAGCCAGTCCCTTCTCCCCTTCCTTCCTTTCTTCCTTCCATTTCTTCCTTCCTTCATTCATTCATTCAGCACAGTCACCGGCCTCGCCCATGTGCTTGCAGCACGGGGTGCAGCCGTGCATGACACACGCAAAGCCCCCACCCCATGGAGCTGACAGAGTGTGGGGGAGACGGGCAGTAACAATGATAGGCAATACGTCATATTATGTTAGATATAATGTATAATTATATGTTATATATAAATATGTAAGTTAATTACAATTATTAAAAAGTAACAGGACCCAGCAGTAGGTCACGGTAGTAAATTATATGGTGTCAGAAGGCGTTCGGGGCTGTGGGAAAGAAGCAGCAGGAATCAGGTGGGAGGTGCAGGAGCTGGGATTTAAAGGTGGAGGTCGCCCCTCTGAGGTGGGAATGGAGCAAAGTCCTAAGGAGCTGAAACCAGGGCCCCAGAAGTCTGAGCTGCAGCCAGGAGGAGGCCGTGAAGTCAGGGGGATGTAGTCACCCGAGGGCCCCCGGGGCCACAGCAAGGAGGTGGCTTCTGAGTGTGACGAAGCCTGGGGATGCTTGAGCAGAGGGCCACCCGAGCTGATTTCAGCATTAACAGCCTGGTGGGGCTTCCCCGCCCTGGCTCCCCCAATACTTCCGGGCACCCCCAGGGTCTAGGGGTGCACCCCAGCTCTCCACCTCCAGTCCAGCTCTCTCCCGCCCAAGAGCACAGGTCGGGGTGCAGACGAAGGGGTGCCTGGGCTGGGCAGGCAGCAATCCCCAGGCAGGGGAGCAGAGCCCTGAGTGCCCGGTGGGGCCTCACGGTGTGTCCACCTCTCGGTCCACAGGACAACGAAGTGGCTGCCTTGCAGCCCCCCGTGGTACAGCTGCATGAGGGCAACCCGTATCCCCGGCGGGAGCTCCCCCACTCCACAGCACGGCCCTGGCGGGCCGACGACATCCGGGCCAGCCCCCCACGCCTACTGGACCCCCAGCCCTACCCTGGAGCCCCGCACCATGGCTCCTACGTGCACCTCCGGCCCGCCCGCCCCACCAGCTCGCCCGCCCACACCCACCAGGACTTCCAGCCAGTGGTGAGTGACTGTCCAGTTATAGTTAAAGTCCTCCGAGGTCAGTCCCTACTCGTGTCCTGGAGAAGCTGGGATGGTGGAGGTGACAGCGCTGGGGACAGGGGCCTGGGAAGACTCTTTTCCAGGGAGGCGGCTGGCAAGGCCTGAGGACAGGGGCTTGCTTGGGAGGTGGATGTGGCGGGGGCACTGGCCTGACGGTGGCTGCTCCGGACCCAGCAGCTGAGGGCACTGCCTCCCGGCCCCCAGCCCACTGAGCCGTCGCTGCAGCCTGGCTGAGGGGTCGGCTGGCGGCTTCTCACGGGGCCTCAGCGCCTGCCATGCGGGCGTTGCGCACGCAGCCCTCCCGGGCGGGGCCTCAGCTGCACTGGCCTCACCCTTACTGTTCATGGAGGGCTGGGCAGGGGCGCAGGGTGGGGGTGTGTTGGGGAGCTGGGGCAGGCAGGGGCACGCCCAGGCCTCCGGAGACACACTGGGCTGGCGCTGACACCTCGCGGCTCCCCCGCAGCTGCACCTGATCGCACTCAACAGCCCGCAGTCGGGCGGCCTGCGTGGCATCCGCGGCGCCGACTTCCAGTGCTTCCAGCAGGCGCGCGCCGTGGGGCTGGCCGGCACCTTCCGCGCCTTCCTGTCCTCACGGCTGCAGGACCTCTACAGCATCGTGCGCCGCGCCGACCGAGCCAGCGTGCCTATTGTCAACCTCAGGGTGGGTGCGGCGGTTGAGCTGGGGCAGGGACATGGGCATCGGGGGCACCAGGCGGTCAGCCTCTGGGAACCCAGCCAGGGCCCTGCATCCCCAGGGGCCCCGTGAAGCCCCTCACGTGGCCCCCAACCCCTGCACCGGCCTGCCAGGGGTCCTGGTATATCATACGTGGGTGTATCCAGCCACGGGAGGCAGGGCCAGGCTCATAACGTGGCCATCTAGGAGCTGGCACTCAGGAAATGTCCCTCGGGCCATCTTTTCTTGAGTGCCCTTCACGTGGCTTTATTCCGTGGCTCCTTTCCAGGAATGGAATCGTGTGCTTTCTGGATGCCCTGGAGCACCAGCATCTCAGGACCAAAGGCAGTGGACTTGCTCCAGGCCCAGGACTGGGGGAGGGTGCCTGCGAGCTGGCCCACCCTCGGACAGGCATGGGCTCTGCTGAGGCCGCCTGGCCACTCATCTCTCTGGCAGGACGTGACCAGATGGAATAAGTCCCCTGCGCTTCCCTCCGCAGGACGAGGTGCTGTTTCCCAGCTGGGAGGCCTTGTTCACGGGCTCTGAGGGCCGGCTGAAGCCCGGGGCCCGCATCTTCTCCTTCGATGGCAGAGATGTGCTGCAGCACCCCGCCTGGTAGGTCCCGTGGGAGACGGCAGCCTGGGGGCGGCTCTGAGCCACACGGAACCTGAGCAAAGGAGCCAGGCTCCTGACCACCCACCCTCCACTCCGACCCCCTTCCTGACACGTGCTAAGTCGTAAAACCCAAAAGAGCAGGAAGAACAGTAAAAAACATTCTCTGTGGTGTTTTATATAAACACCCTACCTACCCTGCTTCCCCGGGCAAGCGCCCCCACCCCCCATGCCCGTCGGGGAGACGGTCTGGTGGCCCAAGGCTGACGGGCTCCAGGGGCCTGCAGTGGTTTAACCAGCCCCACCGTCTATCGTGCAGACATCTCGGCGAACTCGCTCTTCCATAGAGTGAATTTCTTACAGTGTAGTTTCTGAGATGGAGAACACGTGCACTCCAAAGCTGGCAGAAGTTGCCGGACTGTCCTCAAAACAGCCTCATCCCTGCTGTCCCTCCGAGGGCCGGCCAGGGGTGGGGGCGCCTGTTCCCCCAATGCTCGTGCTTTGAAAAGGGCGTCTCTGGGGGTCCAGACAAGTATCCCCCGGGTTCCTGGGCCGGGGGCCTGCCCTCATGGAGAAGCGCCCGCCGAGGGCCATCCTCAGAGGTGGTGGCACCAGGATGGCCTTTATCAAACACAGGAGCTCAGGGCCAGGGCCGCACGGGGTGTGGTCTGGGCGGTGGAGCTCCAGTGACAAGGGATGGCCTGACTCCCACCGGCCCCCAAGTCCAGCCACAGCCTCCACCTTTGAGAAATGCCCGTTTGTGGCAGGCGCGGGGTGGGGGGTGTGGTTAGCTGGCCCAGGTGAGACTGACAGCCGGCGCATCTTGCAGGCCCCAGAAGAGCGTGTGGCATGGCTCAGACCCCAGCGGGCGCCGGCTGACCGAGAGCTACTGCGAGACGTGGCGGACGGAGGCCACGGCGGCCACAGGCCAGGCGTCCTCGCTGCTGGCGGGCAGGCTGCTGGAGCAGAAGGCCGCGAGCTGCCACAACGCCTTCATCGTCCTCTGCATTGAGAACAGCTTCATGACCTCCTCCTCCAAGTAGGGCCTCTGCTGGCGCAGAGGGACAGATGGCCGGGGAGGCGGCCAGGCGGCAGGGGGAGTGGAGAAGCCCCCAGTGCAGGGCAGGGCAGGGAGTGTCTGCCAGCACCCCCAGGGTGGGGACCTGGCCGGGACGCTTTCCTGTATAGTTCACGTTGCATGTAATCCTCAAGAAATAAAAGGAAGCCAAAGAGTGTATTTTTTAAAAAGTTTAAAACAGAAAGCCTGGTGCCAAGACTCTTTCTCCCGCCCGTCCCCATCGTCCTACAGCTGGCCTTGGTGCCTGTGGAGCCCTCTCAGCCTGAACCAACCAGGGGGGCTGACCTGGCTCCCTGTGGGCAGGAGGCTGACTCCAGGACTTAACTGCCCTGGGGAGGTGCGCGCCCCAGGTCTCCCAGGTGCCGGTGGGGCCCTCAATCGCCAAGCAGGTGCTGACTGTTTCCTGCCCGGTGCCCCTCCTGCACGAACTCAGACCTGTTTGCAGACCAGCCATGACAAGGCCTTAGGGGCTGCACCCATGGCCTCCCTCCTCCCCTCTTGACCTGGCCTGGGCTGTGCTGGCAGCAGAGAAGGGGCGCCCTCTCCCCAGGCAGCGAGCAGTCAGGATGGCTGGGGTTGTGGGTGCAAGGGGAGACCACCTCCTCCACCCCTCGAAGCAATCCCCCCGCTGGAGCAGTTTCCAGGATCAACACCCGACTGCTGACCCCAGCTCCTTGGGGCCTCCCGGGCTCTGCCCCCGCCCCCAATGCTGCTATATGCAGGTGGCCTGTGGACCATTTTTCCCTGGAGCCAGCCCTACCACAGGGGGCCCATCTTTGGGCCTATCTGTCCCACGCTGGCTTTCCAAGTGACCCACGAGGTCACACCCAGCACAGGGCTTGAACCCAGACCAGGCTGTGCTGGGAGTTTTGAGGGGTCCACAAACCAGGGTGTGGCAGTGTCCTGTCCTGGGGCCCTGACCCCATGCCCAGCACTCCTTTTCCAGGGCGAGGATTCCCAACTCTAACCCCTGCCAAGCTCTGCTCAGGAGCACGTCCTGGGACCCACTGGGCCCAAAACCAGGGCCCCCCGGGTCACTGGCCAGAACTGCCTCCTGCTGAGCCCGGCCCTGGGGTCTCAGGTTTACCTTTGCAGGACAATGGAGCTCAGAAAACCTCAGAAGCAAAGGAAGGGGTGGCCACGCGTGACTCTGGCCACGACACAGCTCACAGCCGGCTCAGGGCTGCCCAGCCAAGCCCCAGGATGAACGAGGCGACATTCAGGGGTCGGGGCCAGTATAGGACAGGACTGGGCCGTGTCCAGGAGGCCACGTGTGCAAGACAGCGGGGGCACCAGCACATCTCCAAGAACATTCACGTCACTGCCCTCCTTGCGGGAGGACTGGAAAGGACGTTTTGGGGTGCATGTGGGCATCGCTGGGGGGGAACTGGGGGGGTCTGCACTGATGATGGCCGTGCTGGGAGGGGTGGCAGGGCAGAGCCCAGCCGCCCCAGGGCCTGCTGTCTGAGCCCTGCGACTGTAACCAGGGAGCTGGTCCCGTCAACCATGTAGCGTGTTCTCGAACAGGCTCCAAATAAAACGACCTTGCGCACTGACACTGGTTTCCAGGCAGCTTTCCTGGTCATGAGTCAAGTCCTCAGGAGCCTGTCCCTGGACCGCCCAGCTGGCGGATCCTGCTGCGGGAGCACAGGTGTGCACACATGTACACAGGTGTGCACATACACATGGGTGTGCACAGATGTACGATATACACAGGTGTGCATGGGTGCGCACAGATACACGGGTGTAACAGGTGTGCGTGGAAGCACATGTACACGCAGGTGCCCAACACCTGTCTTCTCTCACGGATCTCCCTGGGGTGGCCAGCAGTCCTCAGAAGCTCTTTCTTCCAGGCCGGGCGGGTGGTCTGCAGCCTGGGCTCCAGACCCGAGCTCGTGTTCTCCTCACAGCTACTGCAGTCACTGGGCTCCGGGAGGTTAGGGCCATGCACACCGCACAGAGCAGGGGCTCACTTGTGCCCCTAGAACAAATGTCCCCCCGCCCTGGTGGCCGAGGAGCTCGAGAGCAGCAGAGAAATGCTGTTTCTCGGAGCCTGGAGATGGCTGAGGCTGAGCAGTGGGCCATGGTGCACGTGGGGAGGCTGCAGAGGGAACGGGTGGGGGCCGGCAGAAGGACCAGGCAGCTGCAGGGGGCGTCCCACTAGGTGTCCGGGCCCAGGAGGAGGATGGTGCTGTGGCCTTAGACTCCGTGCTGTCCCCTTCCCAGCAGGGTCCGCAGGCAGCTGTGGTGAGCCTGTGTGGACACGCCCGGGACCACTCGCTCCACCTGACCCACACTGTCAGCTGTGACTTGGGCCAACCTCCAAGTACAGCCTCCTCCTCAACCCTCGGTGCCAAGATGCCCCGCTCACCCAAGCCAACCTTGGGGAACCCCTGGGTGCCCAGCTCCAGCAGCCCCTCCTCGGCCATTAGTGCTGTTCCTGACTGCCAAGCTGGCTCTGAGCAGCCAGCCTTCCCTTTGGACCCCGCCGAGTGCCAGCCCTGTCAGCTGCCCTGCCCTGGATGGGGGCAGGAGGACTGAGGGGGGCTCAGCTCAAGGACACGGTGGGTCCTAGTGTAGATCCTTGCCTGTGGCTAGGGGCCAGGGGCTGGGACCTCTTTCTTGGCCTCCCCATGGACCGCCAGTCTCACCCCCAGGTCCGCGAAGAATCAGAAGCTTCTCACGCTCCAGCGGTGTGGTCTTTTTAATGTATTTTGGGAAAAGCAGACCATCTCACATCTCAGAGGGACGCACGATTGGTTCTTAGACCCCGAGGTGGCACGTCCAGGGTGGCACGGGGCAAGTCCTCTGGGCTGGTGTGAGCAGCCCCACACAGCCCTGTCACCCAGGAGGTAGGTCAGCGTTTGCCCACTTCAGGAACAGCGGGAGGACAACGGAGGGCCTGGGGAGAAGCGAGGAACCAGCTCCCAGAACACCAGCGTCCTGCTTCCACACGGCGGGGAAACACCTGCCCTGCCCCCCGCCCGGCTTCTCCTACAGAAACAGAAGCCCAATGAGGTTTCTCAACTAAATCAGTTAAAAAAAAAGGAACACTGCACTATTTAAAATGCAAGCACCTGGACAACTGTGACTGTCACATGCCCCAGGAACCCAGGCTCCCACCCCTGCCCTGCAGGGCCCAGGACACCCTGTGGGGGCTGCAGTCCGTGGGGCTGGCGTCCAAGACCACCTCGCCAGTCCCCAGGACAAGCGGGATTTGCTTCCCCAGACAGTGAAGGCTGGGAGGCATGGTGGGCACGTGAAACCCCACCACCAGCCACGGGTGGGCAGGGGACAGCACTCGCGCCCACAGCAGCCTGACAGCTGCCCGTGCACCCAGCAGGCTCCAGGCCATGGCAGAGGTGAGCAGGGCTGAGGGGCACAGTGCTTGGGCCGCCCAGGACAAGCCAAGGCCCTGTCCCTGAGGCGTGGGTCACGAGGACAGACAACGTAGGGCCCCGTTAGTCACTGGCTCCAAAGTCTGAATACTGGAATTTGGACAGTGCCGGAAACCCAACACCAGAAGGCCAGGCGACCTGCCAGGGACACGTCGGTTCTGAGATGTCAAGGTCTCAGGATCGGTGAGGACGTGCAGGATGACTGGTGGCTACCTCTGGCATCAGGAATCCGGCCGCCCACTGGGTCAGGCTGCGAGAGCGGGTCAGGCCTTGGTTTCAAGCTGCTGGCTCTGCTCCAGGGGGGCCGGCCCTGTGGCCCACACGCCGTTCTCCGTGGCCAGTGGCAGGGCTGCGGGCTGCACGCTCAGCAGCTGTGCGGCCTTCTCCTCGGGGCTCCGCAGCTCCTGGGCCAGGGGCAGGGGCTGGTGGCGGCCCTCCCGGAGGTGGCGCAGGCCCACCAGCACGGCTCCCAGGAAGTAGGCGGCAGACATCACCAGGAAGTAGGCGAAGTAGATGAGGAACTGGAACAGAGAGCGTGCAGGTGAGGGGCAGGCGGGAGAGGTGGAGGCGGCCCTGCAGGGGAGGGGCAGGCGATGGGGAGGGGCAGTCAGGGCCTGCACTGTGGGTTCCTCCCTTGCTTTCCTGCTCAGAGGTGCCACGGGCACACTGCAGGGGTGGGGTGGTCGCCCCGGGGTCGGAGGTCAGCCCAGGAGCCGGTCCCACGGGGTGCGAGGCCCGCCCTCGCCCTCCTCCCTGCCACAGCTGGGCGCAGCCCTGGGGCGGCTCGTCCCACTTTCCCACAGAACCCTGGAACTTCTCCCACATCCGCGTGGCCTCTGTGGTCTGCCCCCCGGGGCGCTCTGCTTGTTTTTCACAACAACAAACATGCTTCCCTTTGAAGGCCAAGTTCCCACAGCTGCCAGGGGCTCACGGACGTCTGTGCTTAGCGGAGCCGCCAGGACAAGGAGGATGGCAGTTTGCGTCTCCCCGGCCCGAGACCTGGGCAGCCCCCGCACTAACCAGCCCCTGCCCCGGTGACAAGTGAGGCTGCACAGCAGTGCCGCAAAGGAAGGCACATCCAGCATGCAGAAATGTTCCTCCAGATTCTCATGACCACGGGGATAGGGGGTCTGGGGTGCTCTCGGGCGTCTGTGGGCCAGAACGGGTGCGGCCCCCACCCAGACCCAGAGCTCCATGAGCCGGTCTCCCGGAGCCCCTCATCACCGACAAGCTCAGCCCTTGAGGGAAGCCCATTTTCAGAAACAAAACCAGGAAACGAATCATCGAGGACTTTGCTTGCAAGATGGAGGTGACGCATACCTCCAGGTATGACTGAGACCCTGCACGTGACACACGGAACACACAAAGGTGACTCCGACAGGTGGACGGGAGCAGACCAGCCAGGGACCCCAGACCCAGAGCAGCAATAAGGTGATGCGTTCCCTGGGCTTTTTCCTTTTGCTGCATGTGTTCTGGAACCAAATAAACCAGCAACCCAGAAATGCCGAAAAAAGCCCCAACTAAAGCCGCTCTCTCTGGCCAAAGGATCAGAGAGGGATGCCCAGCAGGACAGGAAACTGACAGATAGGAACGACCTTGCTCCAGCCAGACCCCACCCTCCTACCCTCCCACCCAGCAAGGACCCGGGAGAGCCTCCAGCCAGACCCCACCCTCCTACCCTCCCACCCAGCAAGGACCCGGGATAGCCTCCAGCCAGACCCCACCCTCCTACCCTCCCACCCAGCAAGAACCCGGGAGAGCCTCCAGCCAGACCCCACTCTCATTACCCAGGCTGTAACAAGGCACCTGCCCCACTTCAGGTGGTGCTGGTCAAGGCCAAGTGGGGAGCTGGAATGTTCACCCCCAGAAACCACAGGGGAAGCCTGGATTTTCACTCCCACCAGACGGTAATGACCCCACCCCACAGGGTCAGGACTCTCACCCCCCCACCCCACCAGCAGCAAGAATGCCCCACCAGCCATGTCACTGAAGGCCACATGGGGAGCTGGCACTCCCATCCCCGCCCAGTAGTAAGGAGGAGCCCCACCCACCCCTCAGGGTCAGGAGGGCTGAGTGAGAAACCTGGACTTTCACCCCACCTGGGTAACACGGCACACACCCATAACTTCCTCCGCTAGAGTGGTCTCAGGAGAAGCCAGCTAAAACAGAAGGATCAAGTAAGATCCAGTCTCATAACATAATACCCACAATGTCCAGGTTTCAGTCAAAAATCACTCAGCATACTTAGGACCACAAAGGTCTCAAACTGAATGAAATACAATCAACAGATATCAACACCGAGATGACAGGGATGTTAAAATTATCTGAGAAAGATTTTAAAGCAGCCATCATAAAAATGCTTCAACAAGTAATAACAAACATGCTTGAACCACATGAAAAAACATCTCAGAAAAGAAACAGAAGAGACAAAGAAGAAAATTTAGAAATGAAAAGTACAATAATCACTAAAATAAAAACTCAATGAATGGTCTCAACAACAGAGTAGAGGGAACACAGAAAAGAATCAGTGAACCGGAAGACAGAACAACAGAAATTACTAAAGCTGAAAAACAGAGAGAAAACAGACTGAAAAAAAAATAAGCAGGGGCCGGCACAGCAGTGTAGTGGTTAAGTTCGTGTGCTCCACTTCGGCAGCCCAGGGTTTGAAGGTTCGGATCCTGGGCACGGACCTACGCACCGCTTGTCATGCCATGCTGTGGCAGCCCCATATAAAGTAGAGGAAGACGGGCACGGATGTTAGCCCAGGGCCAATCTTCCTCAGCAAAAAAGAGGAGGATTGGCAGCAGATGTTGGCTCAGGGCTGATCTTCCTCAAAAAAAAAAAAAATAAGCAGAGCCTCATTCTCTTTGGAACTATAAACAGAAGATGTAACACTGGGTCATGGGAGTCCATAAGAAGAGAGAAAGAAGATGGGCTGAAAGAGTACTTGAGGAAATAATGGCTGAAAGCTCCCCATATTTGGCAAGAGAAATGAACCTACAGATTCAAGAAGCTGAAGGAATCCCAAATGGGACAAACCCAAAGGAAACCAGACCAACAAATCCATATTCAAACTTCTAAAAGCTAAAGACAAAGACAAATAAAAACTCTTGAAAGAAGCCAGGGAAAAATGACACCTTAGGGGACAAAGAATTAGAATTACAGAGGCTTTTTCATCAGAAACCATGAAGGTTACGAAGAAGTGACTCATTTTTCACATGCTGAAAGAAAAAAAACTGTCTACACAAAAGCCTATATCTGGTAAAAATATCCTTCAGGAAGGAAAAGGAAATCAAGACATTGTCAGATGAAGAAAAGAAGAGAAGAATTTGTCACCAGCAGACCTACCACAGGAGAATGGCTAACAGAGGTTCTCTAAACAGAAGAGAAATGACAAAGAAGGAAGCTTGGAACATCAGGAAGGAGAAAGAACACAGTGAGCAAAATTGTGGGTAAATACAACAGACTTTCCTTCTCCTCTTGAGTTTTCTCCATTTTGATAGTTAAAACAGAAATTATAACCCTATCTTATGTGGCTCTAACAGAATGTATAGGAAACACTTAAGACAACTGTACTATCAACAGAGGAGAGTAGAGTGACATAACAGGACGAAAGATTTCTATACTTCATTCAAACTTGTTATTTAATACATAAAGCCACCACCAGAAAAGCTATACCAAGAGATACACTCAGATAAACCAAAATGAAATTCTAAAGAATGTGAAAACAACCCATAGGAAGGCACAAAAAAGAAAACAGAAACAAAAGCAGAAAGAATAAAAGGAAAACAAAACATGATGTGACAGACATAAGCTCTAACACACCAATAATTACACTAAATATAAATGGCCTAAATACATCAACTATAAGACATTTTCAGAGTGAATTAAGAAAACATGACTCGACCACATGCTGTCCACAAGAAACTCATCAGGTTAAAAGTAAAAGTGTGGAAGAGGATACACCATGCAAACGTTAATCAAAGGAAAGCAGTAGTGTCTACATTAATATCAGGTAAAGCACACTTCAGAGAAAAGAAAACGACCACAGGCAGAGAAGGACATTATATAATGATAAAAGGCTCAATCCACAAAGACAGCAATCCCAAATATGTATGCAACAAACGTGAAGCAAAAATGTGATGGAACTGAAAGGAAAGACAAATTCACAACTACAGATGGAGACATCAACACCTCTCTCAACAACAGAACCAGACAGAAAAGCCACAAGGATAGAGAAGAAATCACAACAGGATCTAATCAGTATTCATAGAACACTCCACCCAACAACAGCAGAATTCACGTTCTTTTCAAGTGTCCACAGAACACGTAACAAGACAGACCACATCCTGGGCCATAAAACAAACCTCAACAAATTTAAAAGGATTAAAATCATATAGATTGTTTTCTTATCACAACATAGAATCAAAACAGAAATCAATAACAGAAAGATAACAGGAAAGTCGCGAAATACTTGGAAACTAAACAACACACTTTGAAATAATCATAGGCCAAAGAGAAAGGCTTGAGGGGGATCAAAAAGTACATTGAAATAAACAAAAATGAAAATACCACATATCAATATGGGTGATGCAGTTAAAGCAGTGTTGAGGGAAATGTACAGCACTAAATGCAATTACTAAAAAGAAGTCTCAAATCATTAATCTAAGCTCCCATCTCAAGAACCTAGAAAAAGAGGAGCAAAATCAATCCAAAGCAAGTATAAGGAAAGAATAATAAAGTCTAAGCCAGTGCAATAAGGCAAGAAAAGGAAATAAAAGGCACACAAAAAAGAAAAACCTTCCTAGAACTAAAATGACCTCAGCAAGATTATACAAGATTAACACGCACATATCAACTGCATTTCTATATACTAGCAACAAACACACGGACACTGTCGTGAACTGAACTGCATCCTCCCCAAATTCACGTGTTGAAGCCCTAACCCCCAGTGTGACCGTATTTGGAGAGAGGGCCTTTAAGGAGGTTAAATGAGGTCACTGGGCAGGTTCTAATCTAGTTTGACTGGTGTCCTTATGAGAAGAGGAGATGAAGACACAGACACACACAGAGGGACAGCCATGTGAGGACACAGGGAGAAGACGGCGTCTACAAGCCAAGAAGAGAGGCCTCAGGAGAAACCAGCCCTGCCCACACCTGGATCTCAGACATCCAGCCTCCAGAACTGTGAGAAAATAATTTTCTGCTGCATTTGGTTATGGCAGGCCTAGCCAACTAATATAGACACCAAAATTAAAAATACAATATTACTTACAATTGCTCAAAATAACACTGAAATACTTAGGTATAAATCTAACAAAACATGTACAGTACTTGTATATTGAAAACTACAAAATGCTGAAAGAAATCAAAGAAGTTCTAAATAAATGGAGAGACAAACCACGCTCACAGATTGGAAGACTCAACATAGTAAAGATGTCCATTTTCCCAGAATTGATATACAGGCTTAATGCTATTCCTAGCAAAATCCCAGCAAGACTTTTTGTGGATATAGGCAAGATTACTCTAAAATTTACAGGGAAAGGCAAAGACACTATAATCGCTCAAGCAATTGTGAAAAAAACTTTAAAAGTTGGAGGAATCGGTCTACCCAATTTCAAAACTTACCATAGAGCTGTGTAACCAGGACAGCGTGGTGATGGTGGAAGGCTAGGTACACAGCTCAAGGGAACAGACAGAACCCAGAAACAGACACACACAAATATGCCCGCTGAATTCTGACAAAGGCGAAAAAGCAATTCAATGGAGCGAAGGTTAGTCTTTCCAACAAATGGTGCTGAAGCAAGTGGACGCCCAGAGACAAAAGAATGAACGTTAATGTAAACCTCACACTTCAAACAAAATCAGCTCCAACTGGATCACAGCCTTAAATGCAAAACTGTAAAACTTTTAAGAAGAATTTGGGGGAAATCTTCTGGATCTCAGGCTAGGCAAAGAGTTCTTTTTAAAAGAAAAAATGGACAAATCAGACCTCATCAAAATTAAAAACCTTCATTCTGCAAACAACCCTGTTAAGAATACAATAGGACAAACAACAAAGTTGGAAAAAATGTTTGCAAACCATATATAGTCACGCATCACATAAGGTTTCAGTCAACAATGGACCACATATACGATGGCGGTCCCATAAGGTTAGTACTATAGAGCCTAGGTGTGTAGGAGGCTGCACCATCTAGGCTTGTGTAAGTACACTCTGTGATGTTTGCACAGCAATGAAATCACCTAAGGACGCATTTCTCAGAACGTATCCCCACCATCCAGTGACGTGTGACTGCATACCCGACAAAAGACTAGTATCTAGACTCAAAACTCAAGAAGAAAAATGAACCATCCAATCAGGAAATGGGCAGAAGAGTGAAGGGACATTTCGCCAAAGAGGATGTGCAGATGGAAAATGAGCACATGGAGAGAAAAACATCATTAGCCATCAGGGAAATGCAAATTAAAACCACAAGAAAATATCGCCGCACACCCATCAGAATGGCTAAACAAACAACAGTGACAACACCAAAAGCTGATGAGGACATGGAGAAGCCGGCTCTCCCACACAAGGCTGGTGAGAATGTAAATACGGTGCAGTTCCCGTGGAAAACAGTGGCAGCTTCTTAAAAAACACACAACTACCATATGACTCAGCAATTGCACTTCTGGGCACTTATCCCAGAGAAATGAAAACCTATGTTCACACAAAACTCTATAAACAAATGTTTATAGCAGCTTTATTCGTAACAGCCCCAAACTGGAAACAACCCAGAGACCTTCACGGTGAGCAGGTAAGCAAGCTGCAGTCCTCCACACCAGAGAACACGATGCAGCGATGAAAAGAACTGAACTACAATGCAGTAACACCTGGATGGATCGCAAAAACCAGATTCTATTTAAATAACACCCTCAAAATGAGAACATGATAGAAACGGAGCGGATTGCAGTTGCCGGGGTTGGGGGGAGATGGGAGGGGACTCAGGTGGCGTGGCCGTGAAAGGGCAGTGGAGGGACCCTGTGGGGAGGGAACCTTCTCGCTCTCGACTGAGTAAGGTCAATATCCTGGAGTGACAGTGAACCACAGAACTGAGCACGTGCCCAGCGGGCGAGTGGGAACAGGGCACGCGGGTCTGTGTTATCTCCTACGTGCAAGTGTGGTCCTCCAGAAATCAGAAGTTTAATTTAAGAAATAGCTCACCGAGGCTCTCTCCCCACACTCCGTCCTGGCTCCCCCAGCGTCCGCGTGGCCCCGTCCCCACTGCTCAGGAAGAAGTGAGGGGACACAGCAAGTGCTCGCTGTGAACAGGCAGAGGTGAGCAAGATGAGCCGCCACCTTCTCCCTCCCCACTCGCCAGTATTTCTAACTGAACACACTGCCCGCCTCTCCAGTCACTCTTTAACTGGAAGTGAAACCAGCCAGAGAAAAATCAGTGTGTTTTTCTCAATGTGACCTGACGTGGAGAGGAGCCACCAGGGGGAGAGGCCGGGGCCAGGGTGCGAGGAAGGCCCAGCCCCTGGGAAAAACTCTCTGGCCCTTCTCACCTGGCCTGGGCCCTCAGCAGGTGGGGGGGCCCTGCTTCTAGGCACACTGCCCGACCCTCCACAGGCTGAACACGGGGCAGCAACATGTACAGTGACCTCAGAGGTCAGGGCCCAAGGCAGGTCAGAGCTGCCACATGGCTGGGTCCACTGGGATCCGAGATCTCTCTGAAACAGGTCTTTGCTCGTCCACACTAACAGCCCCACTGCCTGGGGCCAGAACAACTGGGGGGTCCAGGTTTGGGAATGGGTCCCGAGAGGGGGAGGGGCTCCTCCCGGGTGCTGGGGCCCCTCCTAGGCCAGCTGGACTACTGGCAGGCAAGACTCTGTGGAAAGGCCTGGGGCCAAGGATGGTCCCCCCACAGAGGCTGTGCTTCCAGGGGGAGGCCTCCCCTGGACGGTCAGCAGCAGCATCTGCCGGGCCAGCACCCGTGAAGGAGGCCCTCAGTCCGCCCATCCCGGGGCACAGGGCTCACGCCCTCCAGGCAGCCCCTCTCATCCACCTGGTAGGTGCAGCTGCACAGGCACCTGTGGACCCGAGTCCAGCTCGGCCACAGAGGGGCTCAGCCAACCCTGCTCGGGCTGGACAGTCCCCAGTGTTCAGCCTGGGGGCTGGGGGTAGAGGTCTGGAGGGCCTGGTAGAAGCAGGGCTGAGACCCCCCTGCCTGTGTGGACGCAAAGGGCGAGAGGCTCTGACGCTCCTCCCCTAGAGGGCATTTCCAAACCCCACAGGCTGTTTCCACGCAAGAGGGTCTGCTCTTGCCCAGCACCTCCTTCCTGGCCAGCTTTGGGGTCACCGAGGCAGTGCAGCCTCAGCACCCTCAGACAGGGGGTCGGACCTTCTCCGTGGAGCCCAAGCCCCAGTGAGGTCTGCGCTCCAGGCAGATGGAGGCTGCATCCCCACAGGCCGAGGGTGCTTGTCCAGCCACAGGCGGGGCAGGGTGGTCCCTGAGGAGCCTGGTTACCATCCCTCCTGGGGGCCTGTCCTCTGGCTAATTCCAACTTGCCCGGAGAGGTCCTGCTTTGGCTGAGACCACCCGGAGCCACAAGTGAGTGTCCCCCAACCTCACAGTGGACAGGAATTCTCAAGCTCTTCTCAAAAGCACCAACAACTCGCCCAGAGCTGGACAAAGGGAGGTGGACTAGAGAAGGGCCAGCACGCGCCACGTCAACCCACCAGCTCTCCTTTCTCCCGCCTCCACAGAGAAGACAAAGGGCGGTCACAGGGACAGGCCTAGGTCGGACAGGCCTGACGTTACAGGCAGAGACCTGAGAGAAGGCGTGAGTGGTGACAGCACAGGAAACGCCCCCATCATGCCCGGGGCGTCAGGCAGCACGGGGGATGCCCGGGGCCGGCGAGAGCTCCTCCAGAAGTGACCTGCAGCCAGGCTGAGCCCGGAGGCCCCACGTGTCTAACCAGAATCGGCTGCGCCCAAATGTTTACAGCCCCAACCTGGGCCCCAGGAGGGAGCAGGGCAGGCGAGCACCGGGAGGCCACACCATGGCTCCCTGCTGCCCTGTCCCCTGACCCTTCCCTCCCGGCTCCAGCCTTCTCACCTCCTGCTCTGACTCAGTCAGTCCAGTGTGTCTGGCTGGAGACGCCTGGCCCACCCTGTGCAAGCCTCCTGACCTGTGGTCTGGGTCTCAAGGAGTGGGCGACGCCACCTGTCGGGTGGGCACCAGGACGCCAGCCGGGACATCCCCCAAGAGGCTTCCCTCCCCGCAACGGGGGCTCACCTGCTTGTGGACCGCGAGGCCCAGGCCACGCTTGTCGGAAACAACCAGGGTGATGGTGGTCTTGAGGACGGTGGCGAGGAAGGTGTTGACTCCGAAGACCAGGGCACAGAGCTCTTTAGAAAGCGAAGACGCGATCTGAAAACTTAATGGGAAAGCGGGCCCAGGTCAGAGAGGTGCGCAGAGGAACGCCACTCATGGGTAGCAGCCGCCCCCCGGGCAGCCACTGGCCTGAGGACTGACCAGGCCCACTGAGGTCCCGGGAGACCCGCAAGCCCAGCCCAGCGCCCAGGCCACCCACCGCTCCCAGGGCACGAGCCCCGAGCTGCCACATCCTCAGAAAATGAATGCAAAATACAGCCTTGGGAAGACACTTAAGTCTCCTGGTGACTGTGGGGCAGAGTGAGTGACAATCACTGCACAATTCTCAGAAAGTCACTCTCACAAGAACGGGCAGAGCATCATGAGGGAATGAGAGTCTTTTGTTACTAACTGATTCAATAAACTAGGGAAAAGACAGTCACACAAGGAAAGCATGAGGAAGTGATGTGCTCAGAGCTCCAGGTCCTGCAAACATTAACATTCCAACGTCCTTCCAACCAAAATCCCCCAGGTGGGGGGCTGGCCCAGTGCTGTGGTAGTTGAGTTGGCACACTGCACTTTGGCGGCCCAGGGTTCGCCGGTTTGGATCCCAGGCACAGACCTACGCACCACTGTCAAGCCATGCTGTGGCGGCCTCCCACATACAAAATAGAGGAAGATGAGCACAGACGTTAGCTCAGCAACAGTCCTCCTCAAGCAAAAAGAGAAAGACTGGCAACAGATGTTAGCTCAGGGCCAATCTTCCTCACCAAAAAACAAACAAACAAAAAAACAAAATCCCCAAAGTATAAATAATAATCAGACAGGAAATACTCTGAAGTTCTGAAGAATAAACGAACACCAATATCCAGAAGACTTTAAAGAGAACGGCTGAGGGGACTCTGCTGCGCTGGGGTCGGGGGAGCAGGAAATACAGGACGTGTGGAGGAGCACTCACAGGATGAGGACGGCAGGCCAGTGTGAGAAGGAGCTCGTCACCAAAGGTCCAGGGTGACAGATTAGCTCCTGGGACACCGGAGCTGGGCCAGGGTCCCCCAATGAGGGTCTCACCCGTGCCCCACCACCCAGGAAGTAGGAGTGAAGGCAGAGCCTGCAGCGTAGCCCGTACGGTACACAGCTCCCAGCATGTCTGGAGGTGTAACCGTGAGACATGATAAGGAGAAGAGAGACCCCAGCAGAAGAAGAGTCCACCCGTATAAAAGGGAGAAGCCAGCCCAGCTGTCATCAAGGAAGGGCAGGTGGGCTGGGGTCCGCCCTCCACCACCCACAGGGGCTGGGTGTGCCCGGCGGGTGTCTGCAGTATCCACTGACACCCCTTTTCTACAGCACACGCCCTCTGACCTGGCCAGTTCCCCTCTCGGACTCATCTGGGGCCACGATCAGAATTGGGGAGAAAAACGTAGGTGAAAGAGTGTTGACCTCAGTGTTGTCTGCCACAGGAAAATATCGGAGGCGGTGTCCCCGGCAACGGGGGATGAGAGTGTGGCATGTCACTCATCACTGAGAGGACCAATCACGTCGGCATTCTGAGAGTGACTCCACAGCTGAGGGAAGGGCAGGGATGTGGGGCCCTGAGTTTCACCCTATGTCAGGCAGACACCCGACTGTCCACAAGGAGGCCGGGCTCCAAGGAGGAAAGTCTGTTCTCCTCTTCACGCTTCTCTGCGTCTCATCTGACCTTTCCCACAATGGGCATTGAGGGTCTTTACAATAGCAAGAACACCCAAGGCAGGGTCCTCACAGACAGAGGGAGGGACGGTGAGAATGGCAGACAGCCCAGCACCCCTCCACAGTGCTGACGTGACAGGAGAGGGGAGCGCCTGCCCAGAGGACACGCTTCCCAGACGTTCACGGCTGAGAAGGGCAAGGCGGGGTGGGGGGCAGGGGGAACACGACCTCAGTCTGAGAGTGAGGCCAGGCCTGGGCCATGGCCACAGGCTGCAGGAAGGGCGCCTGCCGTGGAAATGGACCCCAGCAGGGCCAGGATGTGGGCAGGCGTCTGGCAGCGCTTGTCCCCCAGGTGCAGGAGAGGAAAGACCCCGCGTTTGACCCAGGCTCTCGGAGGTGATGCCAAAAGTGGAGAGGCAGCGTGGGCGCCGTGCACTTCCATGAGGGGGCACGGGAATCAGGCCACCATGCCGTGGGGCAACGGCTGCAGATGGTCAGGAGCCTGGGACACTGTCCGAGCTCAAGACGTGGTGGGACAGATGCTCTCACGGGTGTGATCGGAGAGAGGCCAGGCCTGGGGGCGCCGAAGGTGAGGCCTAGAGGCGAACCAGCACCAAAGACCCAGGGGGATGGTGACAGACCCAACGCTGGGTGCAGAAGGCAGGCTCCTGCGCGCGTGTGTGGTGCGAGCACATGTGGTGAGCACGTGTGGGGGGGTGAGCACGTGTAGTGAACATGTGTGGGGTATGAGCACGTGTGGTGTGAACAGGCAGCTTCGTGAAAGGCCAGTTCAAAGAAGCACACAGAGGATCTTAGGTGCAGGCAGGACATGAGCCAGGGAAGGTTCTGGAAGGCAGAAGCAGTCCAGTGGGCAGCTCTGGGGACATCCCTGGGCAGGTGCAGGAGAGTCCCCATGGGTGTGAAGAACGCAGGGGCATTAGGAGAGCCCCGGATAGAGGGCGAGCTGGGACACTGGTCACCTCTTGGCCGTGAGCCGCCGTTTCCAGCAGTCGGAGCTGGAGACGACAAGAAAGGTCTCAGGGCCACCCAAGATGGGACTGCCGCAGCGCTTGGGGCCTTGGAAAAAGAGCAGGGGGCCTGGGAAGAAGGACTTCACAAGGGCCACCAAGTGGCCTCAGCAGGAGGGGTCGCCATAGGGGAAGGCTCCCTGCCGAGTCTCAGGGTCACAGCAACCGCGATGGGACATGCTGTGGACAGGGGACAATCAGGCCCCTGGCTAGAGGTGCCCAGGGCTCACTGCTCCTCCCAATGTGAGCAAGAGCACACCACCAACCCTGCTTCACACTGCCCACACACACCCCTTCTGCTCCCCACAGACCATTCCAGGAGAGAGGCCTCTTAACACACACAGACCGCCCAACAGCCCCACCCGGCAGAAGGACGGCGCACGGCCCTCCAGCTGCCCACCTTCAGCCAGGCCCTGGGTTCTGGCCTTACAGTAGCTGCCTGGGCCAGCAGTCTCCTGCGCCCACCCTGCACCGGCCCGACTCACGTGGCAATGGGCACCAGGAACTGGTAGGAGCCGCGGAAGAGCACGAAGGCCATGTAGCACAGCCAGATGCTGCTCGTGCTGTACATGAGGAAGATCAGCCCAGCCTGCACCGCCGTCACGCCCGCGATCACCAGCTCCGCCCACAGGGCCCAACGTATCGTCACGAAGCCCGCAGCAAAGGAGGTGATGGCACCTGGGGAGACAGGACACGTCACGGCCACCCTCGCGGGGTGGGCAGAGCGGGCGAGGCCAGCGGGGCGTACCGAGCAGAGTGGAGGCGGCGTCCGCCCCGCCGTTGTAGACCGTGGTGGTGTCCGTGGTGGGGTTGACCACGTTCCACAGGATGTGCACATAGTAGACGATCAGGTAGTAGCCAGCCGAGTTAAACACCCACCAGACGGACCAGAGGCGCAGCTGCGGCAGCCGGAGGTTGTCCCCCAGTTCCCAGAGCATGCGCACCAGAGTCGAGTTCCGCACGGTGTCCAGAAGCGTCCAGCCCAGCTTCCTGCCCTCGGGCCGGCCGGGGCCCACGTTCATCTGGTCCAGCTCGGAGGGCGAGGCCCCGCTGCGCACAGGGGCGCTGCGGTTGAAGAAGAGGCTGCGCTTGGGGCGCTTCAGGAAGAGCGCGAGGAGCAGGCTGAAGGTAAGGAAGGCCAGCGAGATGTAGTTGAGCGTGGAGAAGGAGAGCCGGCCCACGGTCACGAGCAGCTGGCCCAGCACGGAGCTGGTGAAGACGCCCAGCAGCACCGCCGTGCGCGAGTAGCCGGCCATGCGCTGGTAGCGGGCGGGGCGCACGAGCGAGAAGATGTAGGAGGAGTAGGCGATGCGGGCAGCCATGGTGACGCTGTAGAAGAGCTCCATGAACTGCATGTGCAGCACGGAGGTGCCGAACAGCAGCAGCAGCCACACGCAGATGTAGCTCAGGGCCTGCAGGAGCAGCACCGGCTTGTAGCGCAGGTAGTCGGTCAGCAGGAAGACGGGCACCAGCACCGCCAGGTAGGAGTAGGACAGCACCGGCGTGATCTCGTTGGTGACCTGTGGGACAGCAGGCTGGTGACCCCGCGTACCCCAGCACCACAGCCACTGCGGACGGCCTCTGGTGGCCCCAAACCAAGACCACGCCATGAGCGCTGTCCCACGTTGTTATATCCTCTAAACAGGTACAGCCCATCAGGACCGTCCACAGCAGCGGGGAAAGAGAATAACACAGCCCGCCCCGAACCATGCTCCACCCTGGCTCCACCCCCCACGGGAAGGCATGCTTCTCACGCAGCGGTGCAGCGCTGACGTGTGCAGACCTCTGACTGCTACACTGTGTGGCACAGAAGACACGTTTGCCTTCAGAAAGCTGGTGACTACCACGAAAACAATCACTAATTACATGTTAAGTCACACTAATCTAGGCTTGTTTTGCTGTTGTTGTTGTTGAGAAGATTCACCCTGAGCTAACATCTGTGGCCAATCTTCCTCTTTTTGCTGAGGAAAATTAGCCCTGAGCTAACCTCTGTTCCTATCCTCCTCTATTTTGTATGTGGGTCGCCACTACAGCGTGGCTTGATGAGTGGTGTGTAGGCCCATACCCAGGATCCAAACCTACTAACCCAGGCCGCCAAAGTAGAGTGTGCCAACTTAACCACTACGCCACCGGGTCAGCCCCTTGTTTTTAGTGAATAAATACATGGTTGATTTCACCTTAAATCTACCAACATGGAAATCAGGTTGTGACCGCTGTGCACTCACACCGACACAGCTGCCTTGGTCACGGGGACGCAGAGAGGGCAGAGAGAGAAAGAGCTCACACCACGGGTCACATAGAACACAGAGAATGGTGTGAAGATAAAGGAAACTTCGTTTAAAACAGAGTTGGGGGCCAGCCCTGTGGCATAGCGGTTAAGTGCGCGTGTTCCACTGCTGGCGGCCCGGGGTTCAGATCCCGGGCGCACACTGATGCACCGCTTGTCAGGCCATGCTGTGGCAGCGTCCCATATAAAGTGGAGGAAGATGGGCACAGATGTTAGCCCAGGGCCAGTCTTCCTCAGCAAAAAGAGGAGGATTGGCATGGATGTTAGCTCAGGGCTGATCTTCCTCACCAAAAATAAATAAATAAATAAAATAAAACAGAATTGGGAAGCCCTGACGGGGGCGGTGGGGGGTCTCATGCCCTGCCACTCCCGAACCTCGCATTCCCGAGCAGGAGGAAGCTTCCTCCACAGACCCCAGAAGGAGGAAGAGAGAGCCTCTCCTGAGCCAGCAACAGCCCAGTCAACGAGAAACCGCAACAGTCGGCCAGTGAGAAGCCGTCACCACCCTGAACTCTCCAGACAGCCCCTCTCGGCTTCCTCCTTCCTCTATAAAGGAAGTCTCGCTCCTCTGTTCTCCAGACTTGCCTGTGGTTCTGCAGTAGTGTGCACACCCTGAACTGCAATTCCTCTGCTATTCCCAAATAAGCTTGTTTTGCTGGTAAAATAACTCGCTCTTTGGTTTTTTAAGGTCGACATTTCATGGCAACCCTGCAGCGACCCGAAGGAGACAAACCCCTGAGGAACTGACGACCCCGGAACCCAGTGGGGACCCACTTTGTGCTCTCTGCTTCCCTGAGACGTCTCTCCCTTTCAGTTCAGTAAGTCTCCTGTGGGATCGAGCCCCTCGTTCTGGTCGGGCTCTCCGACTTCCTTCGGGATCTGTGTTGTTGTCGTTGCTGTTATGAAGGCATTCCCCTCCTAGTGAGGACTTCTTGTTTTCTGAACCTCTGGTTTTGAGCAATGGGATCCGAATCTGCCACATGCTCTCAGGAAGGTCCACTGTCTGGGACCCTTGCCAGTTTTTTTTTTTTTCTTTTATTTTTTATGAGGAAGATCAGCCCTGAGCTAACATCCATGCCAATCCTCCTCTTTTTGCTGAGGAAGACTGGCCCTAGGCTAATATCTGTGCCCGTGTTCCTCCACATTTTTTTTTTTTTTTTAATATGGGACGCTGCCACAGCATGGCCTGACAAGCAATGCATGGGTGTGCACCCGGGATCCAAACCCGGGCCGCCAGCAGCAGAGCGGGCGCACTTAACTGCTACGCCATGGGGCCGGCCCTCTTGGCCAGTTCTATGTTTAAAAACTATGGTCCCTCCTCATGTGCATTTTTAACTAATTGGACCAACTTAACTCAAAAATAATTTAGAACTCCAATGGGGAACTTTCGATCTCCCCAGACTTGCTTTTCTTAGAACCAAATTAGAAGACCACAGCCCTAAAATAAAGAAACTGAATGGGCCGCCTATTTCAGTTGGTATCTCGAGGATTTACAGAATACCATTTCTGATTTAACTGAGACAAACAGTTGAAGGGAAACAAGGCACCGGAAGCCTCTTCACCTCTTTCCCTCCTGCACTAACTTCCTCTTCCCCTGCAGCACCTGCCCCACCTTTCCTCCACTTCCTCATTCCAACCTTCTTGGTGAATTTCCCTTTCTCTCCGAACTTCTCCCTACTTCCTCTTCATCTGAACCCCTTAGAACCTGCCCCTTTAAAATCTGACCCTCTGAGGGTCCTAATGCTAAGCCCCTAATTTCCTGTATCCCCTGAACTAAGGCCAAACTACAAGCCATAGTCAGAGATTTTCGTAGAGTTTCTGAAGGTCGTCATAGATTTGCTGAGGAATTTAATATAGTCGTCCAAACTTACCAACCAGGTTTCCTAGATTTATACCAGCTAGTTCACATGCTTGTTGGCAAAGGCCGAGCCCAACACCGGATCCTGAAAAATCTCTAGACTGCAAATGAGAGACCAACCACCTGCTCTGTCATGTGATCAGGCTGGGCAATCACTAAATGACTTCACTAGGCAATCCCTAGGGCTTTCCCAAAACCTGCTGATTTAGAGTGAGAGTCAGGCTTGCACTCAGAAACCCAGCAAGCCTGTGCACGACTATTACAGTCGACTCCAAATTGTCTTTAAGGAAAATTCTGGCCTTCCTATGAATGTTGAACCCACTCGGGCAGCCTTCAACTCTATGTTCATTATCCGGCGAACTGGAATCTTTCCCTTTTGGTTAAAAGGACCAGGATGGAGGCCGGCCCAGTGGCGCAAGCGGTTAAGTGCCCGCACTCCGCTGCGGCGGCCCGGGGCTCACTGGTTCAGATCCCAGGCGCGCACCGACGCACTGCTTGTCAAGCCATGCTGTGGCGGCGTCCCATATACAGTGGAGGAAGATGGGCACGGATGTTAGCCCAGGACCAGTCTTCTTCGGCAAAAAAAGAGGAGGATTGGCAGATGTTAGCACAGGGCTGATCTCCTCACAAAAAAAAAAAAAGGACCAGGATGGAATGGGAAACTATGTCCACTCCAGATTTAATTAATTTAGCAAATCAGCTTGCCCGCACCCTAGAAGATTCAGCTAAAAGGAAGACCACTAAAATCCTTAATTTTCAGCTCCAACACATGGAGGCGCCTAAACAAAACCCAGGCCCTCCTCATCTCTGCTAGTACTAGGCAGAGCCAGGACACTGGAGGAAAGACTGCTACAAACAAGCACTCCAGGCTTCTGCAGCCCTCTAACCAGCTGTAGGGGCACTAGCCTACGTGCCCTTTAAGCCATGTGTCCTTGAGGCTCCTTGTCTGGGCGACGCGTCAGCACTCACAATGAACAGTCCCGGGCTTGGCCAACCCAGATGTTTCTCACGGGATAGTTAGCACAAAGACCATCAAGGTCTGAGGGAACATAGAGGCCCAGGGGTGGGGGGGGGGGGTCTGGACCTTGGAATCAGGTCATACAGGGACAGTCCCCCTTGGCAAGCATTGTCCCTCGGTCTACTTAAGCAAGCTTCTCTCAGGGGGCGGTAGTGGTGCACACTTCCGTCCAGCTGGCCTCCACTGGACCTTCCCTTAAGTAACTCCCAATAAACCCATGTGTCTCGTTTGCTGTCTCTAGGTCTTTTCTTTGGTCTCTTGGCAACCTATCCCGAATGGCTCACGTGGGCGTGTGGCGCAACACCAGCCTTTCCAACGCCCTCCTAACCCCCAATCACAGGACTCCAAGGAGCTACAGGGGCTTCTCCCAACCATTCCTCTTAACTGGCCTAAAGAAAGCACTCTCCAGGTTGGGAAGGCATCTCTGTCCTTACTGACACGGGAGCTACCCTCCCAGGGCTCAAACCCCCGGCCACGAAGCAGCCCTGCCGCAGAGCACTATAAACCCTTCAGACAGTGGGGAGTCCCAACACACCTCACCAGGTTCCTGTCTCTGAACTTATTCCCTTCAGTTTCGGCCCTCTGAGACACACCCCCTTGTTAGTTGCTACCCCAGCCATTTATTGGGCCAAGATTTCTTAGGGAAACATCATGCTGGAATTTCTTTCTCCCAAAAGGAGGAGATAATTCTAGAATTTGATAGCAGCAACCAAAATAGCCAACCAGGGGAATCAAATGACTCTTCAACATCTTTTATTTGCTCATCATGTCACTCTTTCTCCCTGTAATCATCTTAACCTGACACCCTTCTTCCCTCCTGTACTGATGGATCACCTCCTCACTCACACACACACACACACACACACACACACACACACACACACACGTGATGACTTACAGGAAATTCCTTTGGATAATGCTGGCTCTTCCTGGTTTACCTGGTTTCTTCTTTAAAAAGTGAAAATGGTAACTAACTATCGTGCTGGGTGTGCTACCGCAATCCCGTGTGAAGTCATCAAGGGAGACCTTTCCCTCAGCCACCTCCGCCCAACAGGCTGAAGTGTACGCTCCTGCTCAGGTCTGCATCTTAGCCGAGGGCAAAACCGCAAATATCTACACTGACAGCAGGTACGCCTCTGGAGTAGCTGACGACGGGAATGAGGCTTCCTCACGTCCAGCAGGGACAAAATCAAAAATGGCTCTTATGTCCAGAAATTATTAGATGCCATACTATCACCAGCCGCTTGGCTATTATCAGGGTCCCTGGGCATTCCAAACTTGATTCCCTGGAGGCTGGGAAAATTTAGCCAGGAAACCAGCTGGCTAACATTTCCACAAAGAACACGCTCTCGAAGAA